CTTTGTTAGCTAACTTATATTTTAGCTAACCTTTATGTTAGCTAACTTATATTTTAGCTAACCTTTATGTTAGCTAACCTATATATTAGATAACCTTTATGTTAGCTGACATATAGTTTAGCTAACCTTTATGTTGGCTAACTTATATTTTAGCTAACCTTTATGTTAGCTAACCTATATATTAGCTAACCTTTATGTTAGCTAACATAGGTTAGCTAACTTATATGTTAGCAAAACTTTGTTAGCTAACTTATATTTTAGCTAACATTTATGTTAGCTAAAATATATATTAGCTAACATTTTATGTTAGCTAACATATAGTTTAGCTACCTTATATCTAACCTTTATGTTAGCTAACATAAAGGTTAGCTAACATATGTTAGCTAAACTTTTTTAGCTAACTTATATTTTAGCTAACCTTTATGTTAGCTAACTTATATTTTAGCTAACCTTTATGTTAGCTAAACTTTGTTAGCTAACTTATATTGCTATGTTAGCTAACATATAGTTTAACTAACCTTTATGTTAGCTAACATATAGGTTAGCTAACATAAAGGTTAGCTAACTTATATGTTAGCTAACATAAATGTTAGCTAACTTATATGTTAGCTAAACTTTGTTAGCCAACTTATATTTTAGCTAACCTTTATGTTAGCTAACTTATATGTTAGCTAACATATAGGTTAGCTAACATAAAGGTTAGCTAACTTATATGTTAGCTAAACTTTGTTAGCCAACTTATATTTTAGCTAACCTTTATGTTAGCTAACTTATATGTTAGCTAACTTATATGTTAGCTAACTTATATGTTAGCTAACCTTTATGTTAGCTAACCTATATATTAGCTAACATATATGTTGTTAAACATGTTAATCATGCTTCTTCCAACTGAGGCGGCTGTCTAAACTGAAGCCCATATTGTCCAAAAATAACCTGAAGACAGTAATACATGCATTCATTACATCTAGGCGTGATTACTGCAATTCGCTCCTGTTTGGTATCAGTCAGACCTCCATTGCACGACTACAACTGGTCCAGAATGCAGCAGCCCCATTTTTAACCAGTACAGGCAAAAGAGAGCACATTACACCAGTTTTGGCCTCACTGCACTGGTTACCGGATCACTTTCGAATCCAGTTCAAAATACTCATGTATGTCTACAAATCACTGAACAGCCACCCACCCCATCTCTCTGATCTGCTACAATATCTAGCATTATTTGTGTATAACAATGGTTAAAGGATTAGCAGCATGCTAATATGATGAAATGAGTCTGGGATGTGTGAGAAAGGACAAAGCAGGTACGTGTTAGAGCTCGTCGGTGTAGATGAGTTAGCCAGCCTCATGCTCTTCAGTTTAGCATTGGTTGTGAAGGCCAGTCATGACACATGTAACAGTAGCACCAGCCATGATGTTGGACATGTCACTGTTTGAGCCAACATGCAACACTAATTGATTGTTGTCTGACTTTAAAGTTAGTCAGGTCTGAAGCTTCCTTACCGGTGTACATGCAGGTGAGCATCAGGCCCAGGGCAGCCATGGCTCGGTGTGGTGACGGCATGTTGACTCGGTCCACGCTGAGTTTGACCAGAGCTTCGCCGTCTACTCGTGACAACTGCTCTGACAGCAGAAGGCGCTCCAGTCCTCGCAGCACACAGTGATAGATGATGGAGGGGGTGGAGTCCTCGCTGGCAGACACCATCACCCCACACACCTAGAAGGGGACAGACACCAGAGTGAGGTTCTGTTTGGATGGTTCTGTTTTGACTTGGTGAGTTGAAGTATTTAATTGGGACCAAGAAGAGCAGGAATAGACCGAACGCCTGAGAGGCAGAGCTGGGTGTCATCTGCATAACCTGTGATGTGAACGTAGCTTTGGAGGGACCTTTTCTTTGTCCTTCATGTCTTTCTTCTCAGATTGATGTCACGTTGGAGAAGTGTTAGATCACCGTCCAGATGACCTGACTGAACATTGTTGGACTTCATACCTGGATTACTGAGCATGAACTTTGGTGTTCGATCACTACTTAACCAGTAAACCTTTAGAAAAGTTTAAGCACTTTGGTAACAGCTGCTGTTTTTAAATGCGCTTTATAAATAAATTTGACTTGACTAAGAGTAGTTTGCCTTTTATTTCTCAGTGGAAGAACTGTGAGTGAACAGACGAGGCGTTTCTCAGCAGATCAGAAGGTGGAGGTGACCAAGCAGGTGGTGGACGAGGACATGAGCCCCCACTCTCTTCAGATGAGGAACGCATACATTTCTGTTTGTGTAATGGTTTGCTATAAAAGTGAGCCTCTCTCTTTGAAAGTATTATAATAATTCCTCGTCAAACTTCAATCCTGGACTTCTGAGCAAGTATTATTAATGGATTTATTGATTTCCATCAGTAACGTATTAACTTTTCTTAACAGTTTGATGGAATACTGCTCCAAAAAGGACCTGACTACACATTTAAGAGCCTTTGATTATTTTTGTTTTTGCAAGAACAGAATCTACTGGACAAGCCTTTAACAATCAGACATGACATGATTTAATTCCACAACGTTACTGAAACTGTCAACCAGCAGAAGCTTCTAAACTTCAAAGGTTTTGAAAAGGAAAAATTAAAACGTCACTAAAATTCATTCAGTTTTAAGTAGCGCGTGTGTGTGAACATCTGAGTCAAACATCGCACTCGTCGGGGATGGTTGGTGTCTTTTTTTAAACTTTACCTGTATAACCCCAGCCATAAACTCAGCTCCTACATCCAGAGGGTAGTTCTCCATCATGTAGAAGGCCACCGCGCACATCACCAGCACATGCTGCTGGTTGTGCAGGTTCACACAGCTGCAAAATTACAAAGAAAAACTTGTTTTTAAATGGCATACATTGATAAAAATGCCAAAAGGAATGTGTTTAATGTCAGGAGCAACTTCCCTAACTTATGAAGCTGGATGAAAAGCTAATTAAATACCCGATTGTCTTTCAGCGCAGGAGGGACTAGCATGGAGACATTAAACGTATCGTCTTATTGAGGCTTTTTATTATTGACAGTTAAACTCAGAACGGAACTAGAGAAAATGCATTTCCTGCGAAAATGCATTGTGAATGCTTATTCCCAAGAACTTGCTGAAAATCAGCTGAAATTAGCTAAAAACATACTGAAATGTAGCTGAAATGGAAGAACAAGCCTAAATTAGAAGAAAGCAGAAAGAACACATATTTGCTGAATTACTGGTAGGTTTCAGAGATTATAAAATTAGCTAAAAAAGCTTAAAAAGTAGTAAAATAAATAAAAAATAGTTGAAAAGACAGAAAGAAGCTTAAATTGCCAGAAGGAATTGGAAACAGCTGAAATGAGCTTAAAAATGTTGAATTAGATAAAATTTAAAAAATTAAAAAGGCAAAAATTTACAGAAATCAGCTAAATAGAACCTGAAATAGCAAAAAAAGCTGAAAACAGCTGAAAGGAGCATTTTTAATTAGGCTGAAAGTAGCAGAAATTACCACAAAAACTTGAAATTATATGAAAACAGATGAAATTATCTAATAAAATGCTAGAAGGCAGACTAACATGCATGTTTTAATCTGTGGGAGGAAACCAGAGTACCAGGAGAAAACCCACACAAGCACGAGAAGAACATGCAAACTCCACACAGAAAGACCCCAGGTCCAACCGGGGATTGAACCCAGGACAGAAAAAGCTTAAAATAGATTTAAAACAGCTAAACAGAAGCTGAAATTTGCAGAAAGTTAGAAGAATCACAAAAATGTTATCAGAAAAAAATCTAAAAGGAATCCAAAACAGCTGAAAAAAACAGCTGAAATTAGCTGAAAAAATGTTTGCTGAAAGAAGCTGAAGCAGAACAAAATGTGAAAGGAGCAGTAAAAGTTTGTAAACAGATCTCAGGAGTTCAAGGACGGAAAATGAGACAAAAATGGCAGAAAAGAATAAATATTTGAAAAAGCTAAAGTTGCACCAGCACCAAAAGTCACAGCAGGATTGTCCTGGAAGAGCTGAACGTTTTGATTCAAGATTTGTTGAAATAGATTCAAAACTGCGGGACGAGAAACGTGCCCAAAAAATGCACAGAAGAAAAATGGACGACGATGAAGTGGATGCTTCATGAACGTTCACGCAATGACTGCGTGTGTTGTAGCCGAGTCCTCGTGGCTCATTGAGACCAAGCTGAATAAATAAAGGTAGAATGAGTGCACGTGTCGGAGACATGAACAAAACTTACTGAGCAATCCCCTTGAGGTTCGACAGAAGGTACTCTGAGACTGCAGGGATGAGCTGTTTGGCTGTTTCATCGAGCAAGTCGCACTCCAACACGTACAGCACACCGTGCAACGCTCCCATGCGACTGGGCAGGTGGGTGCTGCGCAGGGTGGTCTCCAACAGGCGACACACAGGCTCGGCTGTTACTTTGTCCTGCAAACAGGTCGTCAGCAGAAGGCCTTTACCGGCGCACAGCAGACGTGGCACCAGCTGTCCCATCGTGTGTTTGGGCCCCGCTCACAAAGAATCACTCACCATGCCCAGCACAGCAGCAGCCTTACACAAGGCAGGAACCAGGTACTGATTGAGGATCTCATCTTCTGGTGGGTGAAGCTTCTGGAGCTCCATCAGGGTGGAGAACATCATGTCAAACTGGTTCCTCTCTGTGAACAGGTCCGACACCGCCAGCAGCTAAACCGAATGACAACAATATTTAAAGTACAACTGCAACAAGTACATTTGTACGTGATCGTGTCCTCGTGTTTGTGGTTCTCCCAGAACATGTTTTTAAATTTTAATGAATGTGAATGAGATAAGGAAAAGAGTTTTAATAATGCAGATTTACAGGCCGCTGGTGGACCTGGGGATAACGCAGCATGTGCAGTGTCGCTCACCGATCGAACCACTTCACTGATGAGGATGGTCGGGGTTCTCCTGTTACTGGGAGAGCCTGGAATGAGCCACTGGCTGTAGAGCTCCAGGAGAAACTGAGAACATGAATGAATGTCCACGCCCGCACGGTGTTTCCTGAAGAGCACAGACACAGCAGGTTAGGATGTGCACGCTTATCTCGGAGCAGCAGACAACTCCTGCGTGAGTGCACGTTCAAGTGTACAGTTCTTATTTTTACACATTTCATTCAACCTTCGTGTATACAGGTTAGTCTCAAGAGTCACGAGGACTCGTTTTCAAGAGAGGCCTGTTTACACAAACAACAGACGGTCAAAAAAGCATATCAAATGAAAAGGAAATTAAGAAACGATACATAACAAAATAAAAACAGCTACATTATAAAATGAGGTAAAATAATAAAAACAGGAACATGTCTGTTAGTTTTTGCCATGAACTTAATAGTTGTTCAAAATCCCACAGAGAGGTCAAAGGTCGAGAGCTTCAGATCTTTTTACAAGATGTTCCAGGAAACAGGAGCGGAGTAGGAGAAGGTCCTTTTGTCTAGTTCAGTCCTCACTGAGGGAACACTGCAGGTAATGATGTCCTGAGAGCGCACGCTGTAGCTGCACTCACACAGAGACATGTAGGAGGAGATGTATGAAGGCAGCAGACCAAGAAGTGATTTAAAGATGAAGATGTACCAGTGAGAGAGTCTGTGTGAAGCTAATGGTGACCAGTTAACCAGTGGATACTGGGTGCAGTGGTGGGTACGATAATCACAGCCAGTTATGAATCTTAGGGCACCATGATAGACAGCATCCAACATCTGCAGCATCCAACATCTGCAGCATCCAACAGCTGCAGGTTCTTGTAGGAACGTTCATGTAAATAATGTCACCGTAATCAATGGAGGGAAGGAAAGTCACAGATACAAGGTGTTTCCTATTGTTCAGAGTTAAGCCCCCAGTATACTCCGTGTACGTCCATACGCGGAGGTACAAGCGTACCCCCCAGGGCATGTCCGTGCAAAGCTCAATTTTTACGACCCGTACGCGGTGTCGCACAATAAACTGCCCAGCGACGGACTGTTTTGTATGCGACACCAATGTATTAAATTCTCCTTCTTCATCCCTGATCTGGCCTTTTCTTTTGCTTTTTTGTCAAGAGGCAGAGACCTCTTCCTCCTCCACTGACTCCATGACTGGAATGGTGAGAAATGAAAGAATTTGTCACGAGCGAATTAAACTCAGGTCCAGCGTGGCTGCGGGAGGGTCTGGATATTTCCTGGTGGGCTGGTCTGATGTGTGGGCTGCAGAGCCAGCGCTCCCCTGTTTTTTTTTTTTTTAGAACTTTTTATTAACAACAAATAAACACAGAACACCGCTGCAGCTGAGGGTGCCAGCGCTCTTTTTTTTTTCCCCAGACCTGTCAATCAATCCAGTAGGCGTGTCAGCAAATGACCAATCGGCGACCTCAATTTGTCCCGAAGGTAAACGCCCCCTTGTCTGTGAAGCTGCTCTGCAGCTGCTCGGGGCGTACGCTCGAGTACGAAGTCTGAACCCTCTGCGTACGTCTGTTCATGCGTACGTACGCGTGAACAGACGTATGCGGGAGTATACTGGGGGCTTTAGACAGGATCTGTTTCTGAAAAAGAAACCCAGTTGAACTTTCAGCTTCCTTACAAAGGTTTTGACATGAGGCTTAAAAGAGAGATGTGCATCAACCAAGATTCCCAAGTATTTATAAGAATCCACAAACTCAATAGGAACAGCATTTGTTGATCAGATAGAAGGAAGAACTGCTGGGACTGACTTCCTGTTTGAAAACAGCATCCCTTTGCTTTTGCTTTTATCAGCATTTAGCACCAGTTTGAGACGGAACAAATCTGACTGGATGATGATGAATGCAGACTGTAGAAGCTGGAAAACCTTAGCAACTGTTTTAGTTCGACAGTAAGGTACTGTGTCGTCGGCTTAAAGAAGTAAGGATGCATCAGGAATGATCCGGCCTACATTACTTATGTAGATTGTAAAGAGAGTGGGTCCTAAGACTGAGCCTTGTGGTACACCATTATTCATTATTGACCACTTGATTGTTGATATGTGCTGCTGATTATCCATGCTGCTAATCTCATGCTGCTGTATTCATTGGTCCTCATCTGCTCACACACACTCATGTTCGTGCTGCTGTTGTTCGGCGTATTGTTTTTGTGCTACTAGTGCGTTCTTAGTTTAGCGTATTTCTCAGTTCGTATCTTAGATCTAATTACTGTTTTTCTTTTACTATTTATACGTTTGTTGGATGTGACTGGGACCCTGTGTACACAATTTCATTCCACCTCATGTACCACATGCGATGCGAATGACAATAAAGAACCTTGAACTTATTGACGGTTAAATAACTGCAAGTACCATTGTGTTGAACACATTGCCGTCTGCCTGAGAGATAATTGATTTGCTGATCAGCGACAGATGAATTAAAAATCGTCTCATTATTACAACGTTTAGCTGTGAAGCTTCTAGTCACGAGGTGGTTAATCTGAGACCTAAACCTTGTGTCAGACCAAATACTCCCCAAGCTGCTCTGAGTTCAACGTGCTCCAGCAGACAGTTTATAGGCAGGTGGTGCTGAACGCTGTGAGCATTTGTGTGTTGTCGGACCTGGAGTTTATAGGCGATATAGGTGGGGAGGCAGGAGCCGGAGTGTCTGCTTCATCTTCTTCATCTTCACCCCACTCTTCCTCTCTTAGAGGAGTGATGTTGTTGCCCAACCACACGGAATGGATGGAGACCTGGTGGCAGATAAACCAGATGTAACACGCACTTGTTGCAGAGATTTACCGAGTCTTTTTGTTCTTGGATTATTACTTCATCCCATGTTTTCATCATGCTTCTTTTACCTGCCCCAGTTTGTAATCCATGTTGCCCAACTCCCTCTCCGTGTTGATCTGAAGCAGCAGCTTCTCGTGGCTGATCAGCGTCCCTGCTAAAACAAATTTTAACCATGATGTCCAGTCATTTAAAAAAATGGTTGGACATCAGATTTAGGGACAAGGAGGGTCTGGTACCTGCAGAGGCTGCTGACAGTGACGGCACAGGGTCCCAGGCACGGTATGGATGGTGTGTATGGACATTGTCCCTCTTTGACACGAGAGCCTGAATCTCCCTCTCCACTTCACCTCTAATCACTGCAAGTTTCCGTCCAAACCTGAACATAAGAACAACAAAGCTCAACAAGCAGGTAAGTGAGAAAGCAGGAGAATTATCAGCCAACCAGAACATGTTTTGAAGAAACTCCTCATCGTGCCTTCAGGCAGACATGACATTCTGAACAGGACGAGAACCAATCGCTCTTCAGAGTCCCTTAGTTTTTCTGCCGATTATTAATTTAATCAAACTGCTGTTTTTTGTAAAAATGAACTCGCCAATTGTACCATTTTTATTTGATATACTAGACTACCGTATTTTCCGCCGTACACGTTGCACCGCCCTACAAGTCGCATCAGTCCAAATACGTCTAATAAAGTGGAAAAATCCATAAATACGTCGCTTCGCCGTATAAATCGCATCTATTACGCGTCACCGCCGACGCGTCGCGTTTGTTACATGTCACCTCTGACAACCCGGACGTGAGGGCTAGTTGTGTGAATGAATAACAAGCTGTCGCTCAGCAGGTAATAGTTACCGTGTTTCCAGAGCTTTGAGACTCTTGTTGCGAGGCTGCTGTTCCAGACAGCTGACCGCAGGGTTGCCAGCAGTGGGTAGAGTCATGGCGCTCAGCACCAGGCTGGTGATGGCCTGCACTGCTAGCACGTTTAACTGGGTGCGCTCCAAGTCCTCCTGGAGACAAAAGGGTTGGATGGGAAATTTAAAAGACGTGCCGGGATTTTATCATGTTGAAAACAGGAAATACTTGGGACACTTGCATCTTTAATATCAATACATGCTTTCATAGCATCCAGGCTTGATTACTGCAACGTGCTTCTTGTAGGACTCAGTCAGACCTCCACCGCACGTTTAAAATGCTGCAGATTTTTAACTGGTGCAGGCAAAAGAGAGCGCATTACTCCAGTTCTGGCCTCCCTTCACTGGCTCCTGGTAAAATCCTTCTGTATGTTTTTAAATCTCTGAACAGTTCTGCCCACTCTTATCTCACTGATCCGCTGCAGCCATATGTCCCACAGCTCTCAGAGGTCAGACCAGATGATTTTATTGGTTCCAGGCACTCGTTTTAAGCTCAGAGGTGACAGAACCTTCTCTGCTGCAGGTCCAAAACTGTGGACTGAGTTACCCCTGCAGGTCAGCCAGGCTCCCTCTCACTGTTTTTAAGTCTCTTTTAAAAACTCACTTCATTCCCTGGCCTTTGACTCTGTGCGAGTTGATTTTAACTCGTCTGTATTCCATAACGTTAACCATTTAGTTCTTACCTTTACCTCTGTGGATCTATGTACTTTATCCTGTTCTTTGCTTGACTTGCTGTGCAGCATTTTGGTTGGCCTTGTTGCTGTTTTAAGTGATTTATAAATAAAGCGGTGTGGTATGACTCATTATGCTTTTTGTATACCTCCTGATGAGTCTCCTCCTCCTGATCCATTGTGATTGGTTGGGTGACCAGCACCCCCAGCAGGGTGGCCCAGGTTTCCTCAAACTGAGTCCTGTTACTCCAGCCTGACATTGCAGCAATCAGAGAGCAAGAAACGAGAAAATGTGAAACAACGCTCTGATAATATGACGCACGTGTCTATATATTGAAACGCATTTCTGTACCTAGTGTGTTGATGCGGTACAGAAACTCTCTGAAGACGTCCTTCTCCTGCAGAAAGTCAACAGGGATCTCGGGCAGCGTTGTGCCAAAGTCTCCACCTGGCTGAGGGGACCAGCCCAGTTTCCAAACCTGAAGATGAACAGACAACATTTAAAGAAACATGCAGATACGTTCATGTGTTGAAACTGCCACTGCGGTTCGAGCACTAACCAGTGGAGGTACTCTGGTGTAGCTGTTGACCAGAGGCAGCCTGGACAGACTGATGACAATGTTGCGCAACGTTTGCGTGAGAAAAGCAGGAAACGCAGAGTTTCTTGGGTGACCTAAGGAAAGGATGCTCTGCATTCCCTCCACCAGCTCCGCCATGATCTCACACGCTTCCCATTCGTACTTAACTGGAACAAAAACATTTTCAAACCAGCAACTCAGAATCACAAGCTCAATGAGCACGACGTGGAGAGTTGAAACGATAACAGCAACTTCATGTAATTTCTAAATTAATTCTCACATTCGGGGTTCCCCAAGTCCACTTGGTCTCCTTCAGCGGTTTTTTCTCCGCGTGGTCTTTTCTTCTCTGGATGCAGCAGCCGGTCTCCAGGACTCACAGCCACTGAGAGGCACAAACAAGTTTTACAGTTGAAGTAAAACATGAAAACCGAAGGGCAGTTGCAGAACTGGTCCACACTTGATGACAAGAACTGCTTGGACAGGCTCAGTTTACCTGCGGTAATTATGAGGCGCAGGCAGAAGATGAGGGAGCAGGTGTGTGTGTTGTACTCGGGGGTGGAGAGCTTGTTCCAGATGCAGGGCTGCTGCAGGGCCAGACACAAGCAGGAAAGAGACCACTGCAGGTCCACACTCAGAGGCAGCTGGTCCTGGAGCAGGCGCCACACTATCACCTGTCAAACAGAGGAAGAAACAGGTTAAAGCACCTTGTTCACCTGAACTACCTACTTTAGTTTTCGCCATATAAGTTGCAGTTTTTTGCACAATTTACATGCCCTGACACTTATACAACGAAGCGACATATTTCCATATTTATAAACCAAAGTTTGGCTGAGATATTAACCGTTAACTTTTATTCAGACTGAAAATATTGAACACTACCATTTTCAGCCACTAGATGGCTCTCGTGTAGTATGGTAAGTAGTCGTATCATGAAATAGGTAAAAGTGGCTATTAATGGCACAATCGGCTTGCCGTAGACTGCCACCTTCGTCTGCCTGGAGCAACCATCAAATCAGCTTCATTTTTCTGCGCCGCCCCGGAGAAATGAAGCTGATTTGACCATTAAAGTGCATTTATGAAGTAAAAGTTCAACTGAGACACACTTTTACACACTTTTTTAAGTATTGATCTTGTTAAATTCTTATTAAAGTTCTCCCGTGCACGCCCCTGCGGCTGCCATTTGGCAGCCAATCAATTTTTGGCACAACACCGGCCCACATTTGCAGGTCGTCAACGCTGACACATAATAGATGTGACGTATACGGAGAAGCGACGGATTTTTTTCACGTTTTTTTAAGACAGGGCGGTGCGACGTGTACGGCGGGAAATACGGTATTTGGTGATTTCAAAACGATACTCGTTTTAAAATGTGATCATTTAAAAACAAAAACCTAAACTTGTGTATTGGAACTGAAAAAAAGGTATTAGCACACGTACTAACAAACAGAAGCTTTGGGGGCACCGAACGTTTAACTTCAGGTGTTTTTACCTCTGTGGCTGTGCAAGTGAACGTGGTGATGAGGTGCTCCCTGTCAGGGGGGAGATGAAGTGATGGAGGCAGCTGACTGATGCTCAGCAGATACTGCGACAACGCTCTGCACAGTGATAAAACCGTGGGGTAGAAACCCGGCCCACCTAGAAGACAACGAAACACAGAAACGTATAAATGAACAAAAACTTGCTTTGGGCAGCAACAACAAGCCCCGCCCCTGAATCTCACCAAACACGTCGTCCAGCTGGTTCCAATAAGGCTGAGGTTGAGGGGGTGGCAGAAAAGACTGGTGTGGGACAGGAAGTGACCCAGTCACCTCTGATAATTTCTCCAGGGTCACCTGCCAGGCCGTTTCCACCAAGAGTAACCCCTGACCCCTTGCTGACCTCTGCACGCCCATACTCAGACACGGACAGAGCAGACGTAGGTTGAAATCCTGGGGAAATGACAGTTGACGTCAAAATACAACATAATTCAGCAGCGTTTGATCTCTGTAGACAACCTTTACATTTGTAATATAATCCTAGTATTTCTTGAAGGGATGCGTATTGCCCTCCACCTTTCACGCTAAAGTTTAAAACATCTCATGTCGAGGATCACCAGAGTTGTAACTCCGCTAAATATCTGCAAAACTACATTAAAGCCACATTTGTGTTGGCCAAAGTCAATTAGCTGTGGCAGCCATCTTGAATTATTAGTTTTAGACCTCCAGCCAATGACTATTTTCTTAAGGTTGCACTAACATCTGTCCAATGGTTCACGTGTTATTTTGCTAACAGACGGTGCCGACTCTTAATATCGTGTGGAGCTTGTGTTGACCTCCAGCTGCCACACCAAATTTAGCCCCATGTTTGACAAGCATGAGTCTGAAAGTCGATCGGGTGTAGACGTGCACGCGATGATCACTTTCCGAGTTCTGATAAAATCCGTCTCGAGGTTCTTGACCGACATCGTCACCACTTGAACCTTCGGCCACGTTGGAAAGAGATTCCAGAGGAGGTTTCCGTGCACGTGTTACCTTGCCGCGCATGACACTGAAGAGCTCATCAGGAGGTAGTTTAGTTAGAAGTTCTGTTGTCTCCGACAGGGACACATCTCCAAGAAGACTGCACTGGGACTTCACAAGGGCCACGTACCATTCCTACACAAACAAATAATGTTTATGTTTATCACATTATGCAAATGTGTCACGTGGCAGGCTCCCAAAATCAAACTCCCCACCTTGTCGGTGGCGACACTTTCAGGGGCAGGTGGTGGGTTTCCATCTAAGGGGTGAGAGGTCACGGGAGGCGGGGGGCTGCTGGTGTCGGTAACCGTGGCTCTGAACCTGTCCAGCAGGGAGTAGAACCTCTGATGCCTGTCGCAGACGAACAGACGGGTTCTCTCATTTTAAAAATAGCTCTGAACAAAACTGCAGAAGAACCTGAACATTTCTGAGCAACGTTCGTCAAAACTACAGTGAGACAAAAACTTTCTCGTACATTGTTCAGTAACTGGACCGAACTTGAGCAGATTAATCAGGAAAAGCCTGAAGTGAAACCACAAACTCTGGAAGGATACCTTTGAGCCAAGCCGCTGGTCTGGAGGTATTCTTGAATCCTTTCCAGTTCCTCCACAGGCAGCTGGGCTTTACTGTTCTGGAGGTGGAAACATCCAGAAGATGAAGACCGACACAACAACGGTACATGCCGACACGTTTCCGGTGTGAAACAAGGTTCTCCAAGCTTCACAAAATATTTTATTTGGATATGCACGAGGGTTATAAATCAGTAGGCGTGTCACGATAACTAATGTTGCTGGGCGATTAATTAAACGATAATATTGTTTGAAATTTGACAATAATTAGTAATTATTGTCAAATTTAAGAAAAAAGTTGGTTAATTTTTAAGTGTAGTACCTTTTTTGACCACTGGATGGCGGTACAAGACAGTTTGAACCAAAGGATGGATAGTGAGGGAGTGAGCAGCGCGTCTCTTTAAGAAAAATGGGAGGGAGGCCCCTTGACGTGACATGGGCTGTCTCACTTTGGTTCTCAAAATGGCGGACGCTCGGTGGTTTGAGCTTTTTAGCATTTTTCTCACAAAGCTTTTAATTTGAATAAAAATCAGTAAACAAGTTCTCGGCTTCTTTTTGCAGAGAAAAACAACTTTTTACACGAAGGCACGAGTTTCAACCGTGAATTTTGGAGCTTCGACAAGACGGAGGCTTTTCCCCGAGGTCGGCCTGTTAGCTTAGCTCGTAGCTTAGCTTCTTAGCTTAGCTGCTTTTAACGATCCAAAAACGCGATTTTGGTTAAAACAGATTTTAAAGAAAAGAGAGATAGGGAGGGGTCGGAGAAGAACACCTGAGCCTTTTGTCGTCCAGCGTCTTCAAAAGAAAGAGACACGAAGAAACGATAAACCTGATAAACGAAAATGAGGTTGATAATTTTCATTTATCATGTGATTAATTGATTTATTGATTATCACAACAGGCCTATAAACCATCATCTTACAAGCAAATGCAGACGTCCCAGAACATGTAAAGAACTTCACCTGCAGAGTCTCAGCCAGCAGCATCTCTACTCTGCGACACGCCAGCGTGTCCACCATCCGAGCCAAGACCCTGAAGGGAGTGTTGAGCAGTTTGTCTACGTAGAGCATGAGCAAAGACCCAGACTGACTGAGGTGGATGCCTTCCAAACACTGCAACGTCTTCTTCAGCATGGTGGGCTGCAAACGCATCCAAACAAATCAAAACAACAGAGAGAAGTCAGTGAAGGTGGTCCGAGGGGCTGAGAGGCAGCGACAAGTGAGGAGGAGGAAAATCAATTTAAACTAGAGAAGCTGCGCGTCCTGAAAAAGAGAGTGCTTAGAAGAACTTGCTGAAAAACAGCTGAAATATTCAGGTGTCTCTTGTAAATGAGTCCTCGAGGCTCGATGAGACTAACCTGCAGAAATAAAGGTCAAACTGAAATGAACTGAAGTTAGCAGAAGCGGAAAGAACACATATTTGCTGAATTGTGTTTAAATAAGCAAAAAAGAGCCCAAAACAGGAAATTAGCAACAAAAATATGAAATTAGAAAAAAAAAAAAAACAGCTGAAAACCCAGAAAGAAGCTTAAGCTACCAGAAGGAAGTGGAAAGAGCTGAAGTGAGCTAAAAGAATGTGGAATTGGCTGAAAAAGCTCAATTTAGCACAAAACAGCTAAAAAGTAGCTGAAATAGGAGAAAAAGTTGAAACTAGGCTGAAAGGAGCATAAGCTGAAATTAGCAGTAATAAATTAATTAGGCTGAAAGTAGCAGAAATTACCATGAAAAATTTGAATTAATCCGAAAACTGATGAAATAGCTTAAAAAGGTTATTAAAAAAAAAGTAGCTGAAAGGTAGAACAAGCTTAAATTAGCAGAAGAAAGCAGAAAGAACACGTTTGTCTATTTAGGCTGAAAGAAGCAGAAATGAGCACAAAAAGGTGGAAGTTATCTGAAAGAAGCTGAAATTAGAAAAAAAAACAGATGAAAAGTAGCTAAAAAAGCAAAAAGAAGCTGAAATTACAAGAAGGAAGTTGAGAGAGCATATTTTTGCTGAATTAGGCTGAAAAGTTTAAATGAGTGCAAAAAATGTGAAATTACTGGCTGAAAAAGTTTTAATTAGCTTAAAATAGCTAAATAGTAGCCAAAATAGTAGAATAAGCTGAAACTTGCAGAAATCAGCTGAAAGGAGTGAAACAAGCTGAAATTAGTAGAAAGAAGTTAGAAGAAACACAAAAATGTAGTAGTTAGTAAAAAACTGAAAGGAGCACAAAACAGCTGAATAAACAGCTGAAATTAGCTGAAAAAAGTTTAAATTTGCTGAAAGAAGCTGAAGCAGAACAAAACGTGAAAGGAGCAGTAAAAGGTTGTAAACAGACGTAAATATCTGAAGGAGGTAAAATGAAATTAATTCATTTTTATGAGAAGAAAACGTCAGAAAAGGCTGAATATTTCAAAAAGCTGAAGCTGCAGCAATACCAAAACATCACAGCAGGATTGTCCTGAAAGAGCCGAACGTTTTGGTTCGAGATTTGTTGAAATGGACGAAAACTGCGGGACGAGAACGATGCAGAAAAATGTACGGAAGAAAACTGGATCAGTGAGAATGCTTCATGAACATTCAGACCGTTATAAAATATAATAATTACACTTGACTCGGTTACACGGATTAAACCGTGAAATAAAAGGACAGAGGTTCCGACGTGTTTTCTCACAGTGGTGAGGTTGTCACAGCGAGACTGGATGGCCTGGATGAAGAGGCCGCTGGCAGCAGAGTTGCGGTGAACAGCGCTGATGAAGTCCTGAACCGGAGGCTCGTGAGAGAGGCTGATGAGGTCGCGCACGTGGTTGACGATCAGCCAGGTCAGGTGTTCGGAGTCGTGGAGATTCTGACACTAAAGGTAAAGAGAGATATCTAAACTGACTGAACTGCAGGGTTGTGTGTTATACTCCAAGTCTGAGTCATTCACTTTTATTTATATAAACATTATCCTTGCAGTCAAATTATTTCCACCCTCACAATAACGTTCCAATACTTGTGAGACTCCTAAACATATTTTCTGACTTGACTAAAGTTTATATTATTGTTGTGGCGTCACATGAACAACATGAGGTCAACATGCAGGTCTTACCACGTAGTCACAGAAGAGAATTAGGGCTCCTCTGCGTACGATCTCTCTGTTAGCCATCGCTAACTGGGAGGCTGACTGGTCTTCTTCACCCTCCCCCGAGGAGTGAGGACTCAGCAGCTTCGTGGACGAGAGGCTGTGTCCTCTGACACAAATACAGAAACAAATTACAGGACGAAATCCTGAAGTTCTTCGAACTGTTTCTCGTCGTTTGTTTGTCCATTGCAGCGACTTGCCACGTTTAAGAGGACTCCAAATATTTAAATTCACAAGAAGGAGTTGTTCTCACCTGGGCGTCTGATGCACCTCGACCCACCAGGAATAGTTGGTGTAGTTGATGATGAGGAGAACCTGACACCACAGCAGCACCAGAGACGGATGGGTGGTGACCAGAGACTGCACCATGCCGTTCAGCCTCTCCAAGTGGTAGAAGAGACCGGCCTCGGTGCCCGTCCGACCATCCTCATCCTTCAGGAGTCGAGTGGCTGCAGCTGTGATCCGGCGAAACATTCCTGACACAACGAAGGAAAACGTTCAAATCAATGCTTCACGTTAGAAGATGTGAAGTTTTTTCATTGTGAAACAGAACTTCTAAAAACTCACGTTTCCGTCTACACAACAAGGAAAGGGCAGGTGCTCACCGCTCTTGAACACGTGGATGAGACACATGAGCAGCGTGCCCAGCTGCTGACAGTAGAAGGTGCGCTGCTGCTCAGTGATGTCCACTTTAGCACGTCTGCTGGAGAGTTCGTCAAGCAAGACGCCGACCAGCTGAAGGAGGAACCTGCAGAGAAGTTGAAGACGTTCAACGAGCAATCAAGGTCAAGGTTCAACGTGGCAAGAAGAAAAACAGGAAGAGGAGAATCAGACTTTAGGTTTAAAACCTCGGTCAAATGGCTTTTTCTGACCACAAACATTTTTCAGAATTCCTGAAACTATTGGAGGAAAGAATAAATATCCTGACGCTGCTCAATAATCCAGGAAGATGAATCAACAAGGTTGAGTGAGGTCGTCCGGACGGATTCTTCTTGTTGCAACGTTTCATCTTTTATCCAAAAGACTTCTTGCAGCTGCAACAAACTCAGTCTCATAAACATCACCGTCTCGTGGTGGATCAACCAGTCTGACGTTGACATCCAGGACCATCACAGGATCAAGGAGGACCATCAGCCTCATTTAAAGATAAACAGTCTTTGATTGTTTCATTTATGTTTGTAGCTCAGTGTTCGTAGCTGCCGGAGCCTCCAGAACCATTTGGACTCAAAGCACAAAGTGAAAACGCTCACCTGGCAAACGTTTCCTCCGGTGGAACCTTCTGGGCTTCACCGTTGGTTTCTTGGTTAGACACTGCGTCAGCAGCAGACGGGTCACTGGGCGAGGGGCCGTGCTGATGCAGGCGGCAGATCGTATGGCAGGACAGGAGGTGTGGGGACAGCGACAGCTCGTGGACCCGGGACAGGACAATGTCTTCAGTGGACTGAGACACTAAAACTCTAAGGACTGCCAGGATGCCAGACACCCACAGCTGGACTGTGGAAACAGATGCCTGGAGGGATGCACATGTTGAATCACTCAGATTATATTTTTAATGATTTTAGAGCACGACAGACACACAGCTGGAGAACATGTCTCACCATGGTGGCTGGGACGGTAAACATGCTCTTGAGCAACATGTCTACAGGTCTGAGAGACGAGGGCGCCACAGTCTCAAACAGCGTGTTCAACACTCCTAATGCTTCTGGAGAGTCTAGAAGCATCTGAAAAATACATGTTATCCGTGACTAGGCCTGTCATGATAACAAATGTTGCTGGGCGATTAATTGTCTCAGAAATTATTGCGATTAACGATAATATTGTTTGAAATTGGACAATAATTAGTAATTACTGTCAAATTTAAGCATAAATGTTGGTTCATTTTTGTGTGTAGTACCTTTTTTGACCACTGGATGGCAATATGAGACTGTTTGAACTGAAGGACGGATAGTGAGGGAGGGAGCAGCGTGTCTAAGAAAAATGGGAGGGAGGCCCCTTGACGTGACATGGGCCGTCTCTCCTTCCTGTTTTTCAGTTCTCAAAATGGGAGACGCTCAGTGTGGTTTGAGCTCTTTAGCATTTTTCACAAAGCTTTTAATTAAAAAAAAATCAGTAAACAAGTTCTCAGCTTCTTTTTGCAGAGAAACAACTTTTTACACGAAGGCACGAGTTTCAACCGTGAATTTTGGAGCTTCGACAAGAAGGAGGTTTTTTTCCCCGAGGTCGGCCTGTTAGCTTAGCTCGTAGCTTAGCTTCTCAGCTTAGCTGCTTTTAATGATCCAGAAACGTGATTTTGGACGGTTAAAACAGATTTTAAAGAGAAAGGGAGGGGTCAGTGAAGAGCACCGGAGTTGAACCTTTTGTCATCCAGTGTCTTCAGTAGAACGAGAGACACGAAGAAACGATGAAGCTGATAAATGAAAATGAGGTCGATGATTTTCGTTTATAACGCGATTAATTGATTTATTGTTTATCGCGACAGGCCTAGCTGTGAATACTCACATGAAAGTAATATATATATATATATATATATATATATATTAAAAGTTTGACTCAAGTATCTTTCCTAAAGCCAAGCATAAGCCAACCTGCTGCTTTGCAATCATTGGCAGTATGACGTCAGCGATTTGTCTGGACAGTCTCTTCCACTTGTCCTCGTTTTCCTTGTGACACTGCTGTAGAACAAGGATGAACATCTCCAACACCTGCAAACATGAATTAAAGGTTCAAGACAGGAATCGAGGTGCTGCAATATCTCATGGCATTAGTCGTGCAGTCGTACCTGATGGTACTGCACCAGTCTGAGCAGCATGGACACCACCACTTCTTTTTGTGTATCCAGCTCTTTGCCTGCATCCGCTTTGTTCGAGCCCCTCAGGACAAACAGGTCATAAACGATGGGCTGCAAGGCCGGGATGGCTGCAGAGAAATAAAGCACGTCCCCGTCAGTTATTCTGTTTCTGTTGCTACAGAAATAATCTCTCCTCCTGGCAAAATAAACCAGTGCGTCACACTGTCGCTCCCAAACGTTACACTACACGACATGAAAGCAAATCATGTTGAGGACATGCTGTGCCATGGGGTGTGTCTTCCTCACCATGTGTGACAGCTTTCCTGCCGCTCGCCATGATGCCGTCACAGAGCTGGATGATCTTGGGAATGCTGATAATCTGCTTGGAGTGGTAGCGTTCATAAGACAGCAGCACCAGAAAGAAAAATATGCTGGGAATGATGGCTTCAGAATCCCTGCACAGGAAGTACGATGCTCGTTTAGTTCAGAGGACAACTTGTAAATAGATAGAGTAACTTGATGCAACTTGTAATTATTTATATGGTTTTATTATGATACAACCACAGAGTTTTACAGAATTTGTTACAGAAAATACAAATACCTGAACTGTCCCACTTCGATATATTCAAACTGCTTGAGAACAAAGCCTATGAACACCTGAAACATGCAAATACTTTCAAGTTAAATAAGATAATTTAATGACATGTATTCAAATATCTCATGAGTATTTTACCTGATCTGAGTCCAGCAGGCAGTAGTTGACTCGGAGCTGCACAAGCTGAGCGAGCAGGTCCAGCACTTGTCTCTGCAGGGCCACGGAGGTGCTGGTGGTGTACTGCTTCAGAGCTTTGATCACCAGAGGCTCGAACAGCCTGATGTGGTTGTGAATGGCATTCTGAGAAGACAAAAAGGGACAAACGCAGCTTTTATAACCACCGTGTCACGTATGTGCAGCCTCACAACACACTTCAAAATGCTCAACAAGTAGTTCTGAAACGCAGAGCAGTTCAAGTGTACCTTGTCTCCTCTGTGGCGTGTAGCATTTGCGATGTTGGACCTCAGCTGATTGGAAGCTTTCTGCATCACATCAAACCATCTAAACGTGTAACGTTAAAAAAAAAAAAGAGAGCTTGTTATATTCCACATGTGCACATCTTTGTAAACTTAATGGCATCTATCTAAAGTCCCGCAGGGCTTGGTTCTTGGATCCTTTCTGTTTTCACCCCATCTGTTCCCTTTGGGGTCTATCCTGAGGAAACATGGTGTTTCTTTTCACTGCTATGCTGATGACTGTCAGATTTATCTGCTTTTAAAACCAAATAGTTCTTTCTCCATTCAGCCTCTGTTAAAATATCTTGATGACGTCAAGATGTGGACGGCTTCAAAACTTCTTAAGTTTCGACAATCAGAAGACTGAAGTTATTGTGTTTGGTCCTAGCTCTGCAGCCGCCTCTGGTCCTGTAAACCTGGACTCTCTTCATATCTTAAGCAGTCTGTCAATAATCTCAAGAACCAGTTTTGTCCTCCCTTCACTTGCTCCCTGTATATATCATAATTTATTTTAAATTCTCCTGTTGACCTTTAAATGCATTAATGACCTTGCACCCTCATACCTCTGACCTACTTTACCCATGTGTTCCTTCTCGGACGCCGAGATCATCTGACCAGCTGCTTTTGGTTGAAGCTCAGAGGAGGTCGGGCTTTTTCAGTCGTGGACCTAAACTCTGGAACAATCTGCCCCCCCAACATTAGACAGGCCCCTTCACTTCCTGTTTTTAAATCTCTTTTAGAAACACGCCTGCTCTCTCTGACGTTGAACACACTTTGGTAACCGCTGCTGTTTTAAATGTGCTTTATGAATAAAGTTGACTTAAAGTCCTGCATGTTAATATATGCAGATGATCTTCTGTCACTTTTCAAAGAGCAACTTACCCAGAGGTGTCCTGCTCTTGCTCAGCCTGCACCATGTTGCGCAGACTAGCATCAGCAAGAGCCTGGGTGAAGTGCGTGTACGGAGCCATGAAGCAGTAGTGGTAGAGACCTGGTCGCAGGCTGGAAGAGCCCAGACGAAGAGCTTTGCCCTGGGAGCGGCTGGGACCAGTCAGGACGCCTTCATACTGGGAGGCCAGGTTGGTTCCAAACAGGGTCTTCAACAACTAAAGCATAACCCTTTAAATTTTAGTGCAGGAAAAAAACAAAAGCATGCCACTGAAACTAAACCTGGATCAACGTATTCCGTTTTAAATGGATTTGATTGGACTTAATCTGGAATCTTAAATCTGGAACACGTCTACGAAAGTGAACAGCCAACCAGTGAGTTGTCCTACATTCATGAACAATTCTGTGAAGAATGCTGCAGAGAACTGGATGAAAATTAACAATTACCAAAATGCCCCAAACCCCTGGATGGTGCAACGTTCCCCAGTTAGGACTACGTGACTGTGGACATAAAATGAATGTATGGAACCATCGCACAGGGAAGCCAATGCCTTTACAGGCCCTGTCGGCAGGAACCAGCCTCGCTCTGCGTGGAGTCATGACGGTCGTGGCACACTGCTCGGTGCCAAAACCACAAGGACCGCCACACCTGATGTGACACGGCAACAAGCTACTCACCTGCTGCACACAAACTGTAGCCATGGTTGGTTCTCTTGAGAAACAAGACTTCAAATAGCCCAGAATTTCTTCTACACACTGCCAAAGAGAACAAGTGTTACAAGTGCACCTTCTATCAGCTCTAATATAGAAAGATTAAATATTAAATATTGAAAATATTACAACTGTAAATGCTCAAACAGAGATGATAATCTTCACCTTCCCAATGTCATGCAGTGTTGCTAACTCCAGCAGCTGAGACAGAACATCTAGAGCAGCACGCAGGAAACTTCCAAACTTCTCCTGACTGCTGTGGAGATCCAACGTCACCTTAGAGATAATACAAAATGCTTTAAAGGACTTAAATAATAATAAATAGTCATTTGTACAACCCTTGCAAGCTGCCATTCACAAAACAAAAACTTGCAGGTACATGCTCTTACCTTGTAGTTAGCATGGGTGGCTTTGAGCACGTCATACAGCTTAAGATAGGGAGGCAAGTGGTAGAAGTTGCCAAGGGTGGTAGATTTGCTAACTGCTGTTGACCCCCCAGCACCGTCTGCTGGCCTGCCTGCTCACACAAAAACAGCTTATTAAGAACTGAATTCAAAATCTTACATTACTTATATATATATATATATATATAAATATATATATAAATATATGTATATATATATATATATATAAACTGAAATGAATTAATCATTTAGTTGGACAGATGAGCAGTACCCACATCAAAGTACATGCCATGGTATGGATGTACCTGTGTTGACCTCGTTGCTTTTCTTCGGGCTCATGGGGGAAGGGTTGGGCTCAGCAGCCTCCTTCTCCTTGCCTTTCCTTCGGATAGGACTGAGGGAGGGGGTGTTACTGAGAGAGGGAAGAGCAGCCTAAAAAACAAGGACAGGAGCATAAAAACTGAACTTAAACCACAAACATTGTGTTGAAACAAGCTGTAGTGAGTGGAGGATGCATGGCAGAGCCAACAGTAACATAAATCCATGCTTCAACCAAAAAATGGCATTATCTCTTCATCAAGGTCACCTTCATCGCTGGTCCTGGTGCTGCGTCATCCAACACATGAGCACAGATGTTGAGAACCTTCAGCAGATGGGAGAACAGCTGCTCCACCATGACCACCAAAGAGCGTTCTGACAGCGCTGGCCAGGGTTCCTCCATTTTATTTGGACCTCCACTGATGGTCCCACCACTGCCCTCGTCCTCGCCAGCCCAGGGGTTGCGCAAACATTTAGGAGCAACAGCTACAAACAAGACAAGTAGTTGTAGTTGCAATTACAACAGAATTATGAAACATGTTCTTCGGATAACACACCAGCAAGCAGGTTGCCAGAAAGCAAAAGTGCATCTTGATGAGCTGAGAGATCCAGAGGAAACCAGGCGGAGGAGAGTAAGGAGAGCACCATGTTGGCAGTTCCTACAGTCAGAGTGCGTCGCTCGGAGTCGGGTGCAGATGAGGAGGTGGTTGAAGAGGCTGGAGTGTTGCTCGTCTGTGACGAACTGCAGAGCAGACGATCAAAGGCAAAAGGAAGAAGAGTAATTTCCTAAATCTAAACTATGACGTTTAAATAAACTGTATAAGTGAGGAAGTGTTCACAAACCTTAACAACTGATTTAGCTCAACAATAAACAGCTGTATCGTCGGCATAGAAATGCAAGCATGTGTCAGGAATGTACTGACCTACATTACTTATGTAGCTTGTAAAGAGTGTGGGTCCTAAGACTGAGCCTTGTGGTACGCCATTAAATAATGCATATTAAATAAACATTTTAAAATATAAATTACATATTAAGTAAACCGTAAGTGTTCGCAAACCTTAGGGTTCTGCCTCTGCTGCGGTTCAGACTAGAACGGGAAGAGAAGTTGCTACTAGAGCTAGCATAGCCACAGTGCCAGCCTGTGCTCCAAGTGCCAACTGGAAAGTTTGATGCCAGGAGGCACAAGGCCTCACAGCAGCCGAACTGCAGAAGACAAAACAGTAACTAAATATGCTTTTCAAACATAAGGAAAAAACTTGAAGCACAGCTTTTTGTTGAGAACTCACAGTTAGTGCTTTAGAGGTGGAGGAGGTGAAAGCGTGGGAGACTTTAGTTACAACTCTGGACAAGTTGTTTTCCAACGTGACGTCAGACACAGAGCTCGACAGGTTGTAGCCTCGGTACGTCCTGAAAGACGAGCGTTGAGGGAATTTATAAAAAAAAACCTGCTCTGAGAATCTCTGAAGAGTTTAATTAGGAATTTTCAACAAAGATTTTGGTTTAAATATGTTGTCTAGATAAGAAAAATAATTTAAGGCTTGAAAAGATTTGATGACTATGAAAAACACAAAACAACGTTTTAACTCGACTTTAAAAGCTTTTAGGTGTGGCATAAGGCATGCACAGATGTAGTTCACTCACAGGAAATCCTTATATGGCATCATTTTTGTTTTAATCTTTCCCTCACACCCTCCCTGATGTTTAAGACTGCACAGATCCGAGACTTACGGCGCTAAGCAACTCTGATGGTTAAATATTACATTTAACTGTAATATCACAGCTAGTGAAACCTTAAGCTATAATTATTGTTACAAACTCAGCGTTTTATGCTGCTTAAATCATAACTGACAAGCTCGGGATTGAGTAAGGACACAAAGAAATGATTCTTAAGAACGAGCAGTTATCGTCTGATCCATCAAATAGGTTACGCGTCATAACAAAACACAAACAATATATTTGTCCTGATGCTGCTCAATAATCCAGGTGGATAAATCGAACATGGTCGAGTCAGATCCTCTGGACGGATTCTTCTTCTCCAGAGGATCTGACTCAACCTTGTTAGAGACCTAATATTTAGAAATATGTAACATTAGGCGATTTATTTTGGTGCCTGTAGAAAAAGTGCACTTCATAAAATTTCTGTTTGGGACATGAAATGGAGTGAAACATCAAAACCGTATTTGGTTTCAAAGCAGCTGCAAAAGCAAACATCAACCTGTAGATATGCTCCCGTTTACATCACTGCGATTTAAAGACTTGGAGCTCTGAACTAAACAGCTGCAGCTAACGGGAAATAAGTTCAGCTGGTTTGTTTTTAAACTCTTGGGATTTCCACAAATTTAGAGGAAATACGTGAATCAAACTTCCTGTTTTTGAGGCCGTCTGCTCAGTGCGGCAGCTACACTGTCAGAGAAGTGCAACACACTTCAGCCAACTTGTTTCAGTTCTAGATGCTGTTGATGCAAAAGCCCCTTTTGAGAGTACCTTGTGATGGTGCTAACTGTGAACTGGGAGGGGGGTTGTGTCTCGTGCATGAGCAGCTGAAGGTAAACTGAACTCTGGTCCCGGGTTATTGCCACCACTGGATCCGCTTGGCCTTGATCACAGTCATAGAACAATCTTGGAACTAGTCTGGTAGATAGAAGAGCAAAGAGACAAGAGATGAAGAACACCACACCTGTAGAAAAACTCGAGTATCAATAAAAACAGCGGCACCGTCATCTCACTTCTATGTTACTTATGACATGCCAACAAACACACAAAAGCAAGTGTACCGGCTAACAGCAGACGCCGCCACGTGTCGTACTCTTGGATCGTCATCTCCCAGCAGATGTATAACCACATCATTCAGAACCCGGTCCTGCAGCCGCAGTTGCTGAAGGAACGTGATGCGATTCAAAACCACAGTCAGCAAATTAACATTTGGGCTAATAAACAACACACCGTGCACAGAAAAACTTATGAGAGAACTTACTCCAGTGTAGTGGTGATCTCCTTTGTGTAAAGCGTCAGTTTTTCTCTCCAAGAAATTGACTAATCTGAAAAGACGAGACGATGCAGAAACGTTCAGTATGTTTTCGTGAGTGAGACGCACCGGCACGGCATTGAAGCTACGTTTATCGTTTTGACGCTTAAGATACAAAGAAAAATCTGATTTTACCTAAAATCTAAATCAGCCAAAGTTTCCAAGAGCTCAGTGCGAACAAGCCAGTAGGAACAATCTCGGAGGGCAAAGAGGTCGATCACCAACTGAAGGCCGAGCTCGCTCAGCGTGCTGCTGCACAGCGTCATGATGCAGTGCTGAAACACACACACAACATCAACAACCACACAGACCACAGAGAACCACCAATCACACAGACCCTGCTTACCCTGACTGCAGAACAAGCCATCTTGCAGGTGACGGACGAATCATCTTTGAGAGTTTTTTGTAGTAAAGGCACCAAGTCCACCAGGGACAGAGGGTTACCTGGAGAGGAGACACCTGTGATAAGCACCGTTTAAAAACAGAGAGATTTTCAGCATGTCAGAAACAAGATTAGCACCACGCTAACCTGTTGCACTCTGCACACCGGCCAGCCAAGTGTGTATGTTGAAACGCGTTTTGGTTAGCGCTGCTTGTACAATAGCTCCACAGAGGATGGCCGTGGCCCCCCGGATCTGCGGATCCCCGTGATCAGTGAGGCAGAGAACATCGCTGATATATTGTCTCTCTGCGTAAAGAAAGGAAAAAGAAAACAGCACCGATTAAAACCAGAGGCTTTAAATGATGCATTAAGTAAGCTGTGTGGCAGAAGCTGCAAAGTGACAAGTTAAAAAAGATGGGTGTTAATTTCCCCTCCAGTTAATTAAAGCAGTGGAACTATTCAACTGATTCCATATTAGCAAGGTCAGAGAAACATGTAGGCTTGCATTACTGCAAATCTGGAGTCTTTAGATATACTAAACCCGTCTTGAAATCATTTAGGAGCCTGTCAACCTCAACAAAATCTCACTTTTCCCCTCAATTACTTCAAATCATGAAAAAAGTTCTAATCAGCAACAGCACCTTCTGATAAAAAACATAGATTTAATGGATAAAATAGTCCTAGTCGTGTTTACAAATCGTTTCCTTACAGCATATTTTTACACGTTTTGGCAGCGTTATTTACTCTACCTTCTGCTGGAACACCTTTCGGTGCCTCCAGGTAGAGGGAGTTGAAGAAGGCTTCAGGATGCAGAGCTGCTGCTGCTCCAATGCAGCTGACCGCCAAGGCCTTCACACTCACTCGCACCTCTTTGTCTGGGATCGGATCTAAATAAACAAAAAACAAATTACACAAAAACAAAAAAAAAGCACAAATAACTAAAACGTGCTCCAAAGAAGACAAAAAGTGCTTTGTCTTTTTATTTAACCTTTATTTATACAGGTAAGTTTCACTGTTTTAGACAGATAAAATCATTTCAACAATAAAATCAATTAAGGCACCCCATAATAATCAGAGCCCGACCGATATATCGATAGGACCAATACTTTAGCTCAATATAGGCATTTGGAGACCTATCGGTATCGTGATAATGGTCCCATTATGCGCCAGTATAAACGCTTTTAATTTTCTCCCCAAAAATGCTGAACCAGCTGTGTCCTTAGTTGCAAATGGTGTAATTGTACAAAGTATCCAGCAGAGGGCGCATGCGGACGACTTCAGCAGGAAGCAACTTCACATCCTGTGTAGAACATTTTGCTGAACGGAGCACGGTAAGTTTATTTCAACTGATCTGTAAAAATAAATCAACAATAATAAATTATCTTCAATCCTCCAACCTGCCTGTCATTAGCTACGTGCCTCTCAAGTTAGCAAGCTAACCATAGCATAGGCTATTGCTTGTAAAACTTTTTACCCAGAACCATGAGTTTAAAGTAAAAGTGAATATATTTCAGTGTTAGTAAAGTTATCTTTGTCGTCCTCAATGAAATGCATCGTTTGTCTGAACTCTTTACTTCTCTGCAAAGAAATAAAAAATAAAATAAACCGCTGCAGCCTGCGGACAATAATAATTAGACCTGCACCATACGACTGCTTAAACAATGAACATGAAGGGCGTTTATTTAATTTATATTTTTGTAACACACTTGATAACTTTATGGTGAATAGTGGAGGATGAAGACGTGTAAACCTAGAGTCAGTCTGGGTGTAGGGAGGATCTGATTAGCTTAGCTTCATGGTTGCTAACAGCTGCTCTAAATAAACAAACTCACTGTTTCTTAGATTCTTGGGACAGGACAAAGCTCAAACATTTTCAGCCATTATATCGATTATCGGCATTAGCTTGGCCTGCCCAATATCGGTATCGGTGATAGGCAAAATATCCATATCGGTCAGGCTCTAGTAATAAAAATAATAAAATCAAAGTGCCAGATAAATTCATTAATTCATTCATTCAATAAAACAAGGTAAATATTAAAAACAAGAACATATTTGCTTTGATTTTTCTAGTGACCTTATCAAATGTTTAAATTCCCCTAAAGAAATGAGGGTGGACAGGTTCAGTTCCTGTTGCAAGGTGTTCCAGGTTACAGGAAAAGGTCATTTTTCTGCTCAAGGTGAAGGCCTGAGAGCGACGCTGTGACTTCTTGCATTAAGCTTTTACATAATTATCAAAAGCAGGCACCCTTAACCAGTTCATACTTCTTTTTTTTACGTCACATTTTAAACAGCAATTAGTACCGCACAGTTTATTGGCTGCTCACCATTTTTTTGCCCCGTCAGAAGAAATGAAGCTGCAAGAAGCCGAACACAGTGCACTAATGGCTCCAAGTCCTGGTCTGTGTAGTGTCCAATCGGGCCCTTTATTCGTGATGGCTGACAAATAGACAAGGCAGAAACATAAAGAATATACAGGAATTTCTATTTTTTGATCATGTATTTAATCATATTAAATGCATTCATACCATCTAACAAAGTGAAGTCAGGTCCTCTGGACAAATTCAAATAAATAAGAAAAAAAATGAAAAAGGGTCATCCGTGTTTTTATGTCTTTAAGTCACGCTTGTAGTCCATGTAGCTGATTGGATTCATTGGATTTCATGGACGAATATCACAGTGTATCATCAGCATAACGATGAAAATTTATCCCATGCTGTTTAATAAATGTACCTAATGGAAGCATATAAAGAGTACTGATCCAAGCACTGAACCCTGAGGAACCCCATTGTTATCACTCAGCCCCGTGTGAATAGCAAGCGGCCATCAGGGCACAAAACCAATTGTAAGGCTGATGGTCCTCCATCATGTGAACAGCTAGTTCTGGATGTCAACAACAAACTGGTTGGTCCACTATGAGAAGGTGCTATTTATAAGACTGAGCTTATTGCAGCTCCTCAGACTGAAGAAGTCCTTTGGATTAAAGACGAAACGTTTCAACACCTTTTATTTTTTTGTTTTGAATCCGTCTAGAGGACCTGACTTAACGTTCTTAGATTTTTCTACCTGGATTATTGAGCATCATCAGGACATTCATACTACACGATTACTGGCGCCAGACAAAGGAGCAAGTGAAGCGCATGCACATGTTCTAAAACTAAAACAAACTCTTTTCTTACGTTCTCACACCCAGCAATTAAACAGAAACAAGTAGCATTTACTGATTTTAATTTTTGTTCAACTATAGTTGCAAACAGTAGCTGCTGGCAGGTCAACCAGCATTCAGCTGTGGAGACGTAAATAAAAAAAGAAAGAATAAAAAAAACTTGAGTGATATTATGCTAATTAGGAGCACACAATATCAAAGACAAAAAACAGGAAATATTCTTTTTTAACATGCTCTCGTGCTTTTATCTGCCCAGGCCAGAGCTCATCGGTGTGTGATAAACCAAAACAGGACATTTGTTCGGATGAATTTACCTTACTGTCAGGTTCGGGTTCAGCTGGTTCATCCTTTGGTATGAAGCGATCCACGCTGCTGTCTGAACCCTGCCTGTTGTGGCCTCGTCCGTCGAAAAGATGAGGCTTGCTCAGAGCTGCACACGAGAGGAAAAATCTTTACATCGTTAACATCTTTAAGAGACCGTGTCTAAAGCTGTGCAAATAAACACACCGAGTGCCGACTGCAGGAAAGGCTCTGAGGGTTTGTCTTGAGAGGAAGGTGCTGCTCCTTCATCTTCTTCATCCTGTAGTGTTCCTATCTGCATCCCAGAGTACTGGCTTTCACTGCCGTCGAGGACCTTAGGTGCACACACAAGAAAAACGTCTCCATGAGGGAATAAAGCTCGACTTCATAACTGCATAAGAGATAAAAATGTGATTCTGTTGGTTTGAAAAGCAACTGCATGCAATAATTAGCATGTTCCACACAGTGTGGATGAATCTGCTACAGTTAAAAGAGCAGCAGAAGAAGCAGATGAAGATGTAAATCAGACATTCTGGTATCTAAAGGTTTGCTGAATCATGCTTGGATCAACTCAATTTACAGCAGAACACAGGAGGAAGCAAAGGAGTTCTGCACAAATGTGGTCCCCACCTTACAGACAAAGAAACTTTGCGCCTAAAACTTCTGATGAACAATAATTTCCGTTGGAATATTTCTAAGCTGCATTAAATGTGACTTGCGTGTCACAGGAGTCTCGCTCTGGCAACAAAAACTAAGTTTACTTGAAGAATTTAAATACACTTTGCTTCATTTTGTAGGTTTGTTTTAACAAAGTTACTAAAGTCGTCTGCAGCGTGTTCGAGGAAGAGAGAATCTAAACTACAACAAGTAAAAGGTCGTGTCTCACTGGGCTGCAACTGCTGGAGACGAGCTGGCGATCCAACGTCACTCGGAAAAGTCTGGAAATGTTCGAGAGGGTCCTCTTTCTTGGTGCGAGCCGCTTCAGGGTTGTCACTTGAATGTTTAACATGTTCAAAACATGTTGGCACGAAAATAGTTCTCGCAGTCGAGTCCTTGGAAATGTCTCAAACGCGTCTCAAGAGCACTCGAGCTGAACTTTGACACGTCCCGCTCTCGTCTAACAGAGAACACGTCCAGGTATAAAAACAACATGGATTATAAAAAACAAACCGTCCAGTGGTGGTGCTAATATATCAAGTTTTGCCAAATTATCTTGAGGAGATCCGAAGTTTTGTTCTGGACAAGCAAAGACCTTGTTTTAAGTTTGACCTTGATTTGTGACCTTGATCGTGAAGCAGGGGGTGATGAAAAGTGTTTGCATCACTCTGCTCAGTGAAGATGCAAAAGATGATGAAGTTTCATCAGATTATCTTGAGCAGATTAGAAGTTATGAGCAGGACAGAGAGACGGAGGTACGGATGTAAACGTAATACGTCCACCTTTTGACGGGCGTCTGCAATTTGTTTTTTCCAAATCTTCTTATTTCAAAGTCAACTTTATTAAAGGAAATTATAAACATGGGCAGCCAAGATGGTACAAAGAGAGCAGAACCAGGTACAGTGTAGGAAACGAAACGCTGCAGAGCACATGAACACAAAAAGGTTTTATAAATCTAGTCAAACAAAACACGGCTTGTTCATCACGTGCATCAAGCCTCGTAAATTCAGCGACACAGCAACTAGGTTCTTCTTGCAGTTATGAGTAGGTCTAGCACGATAAAAAAAATTGCTGGGCGATTAATTGTCTCAGAAATTATTGCGATAAACGATAATATTGTTTGAAATTTGACAATTAGTAATTATTGTCAAATTTAAAAAGTTTGTTGTTATTTTGTGTGTAGTATCTTTTTTGACCACTGGATGGCAGTATAAGACCGTTTGAACCGAAGGATGGATAGTGAGGGAGCGAGCAGCGTGTCTCTTTTAGAGAAATGGGAGGGAGGCTCCTTGACGTGGCATGGGCTGTCTCTCTTCAGTTCTCAAAATGGCGGACGCTCGGTGTGGTTGGAGCTCTTAAGCATTTTTCACACAAAGCTTTTAATTTAAAAAAAAAAATCAGTAAACAAGTTCTCAGCTTCTTTTTTCAGAGAAAAACAACTTTTTACACGAAGGCACGAGTTTCAACCGTGAATTTTGGAGCTTCGACAAGACGGAGGTTTTTCCCCGAGGTCGGCCTGTTAGCTTAGCTCGTAGCTTAGCTTCTCAGCTTAGCTGCTTTTACCGATCCAAAAACGTGATTTTGGATCGGTAAAATGGATTTTAAATAGAAAAGAGAAAGGAAGGGGTCGGTGAAGAGCACCGGAGTTGAGTCTTTTGTCATCCAGTGTCTTCAGTAGAAAGAGAGAGACACGAAGAAACGATAAAGTCAATAAATGAAAATAAGGTCGATAATTTCATTCATGCGATTAATTGATTTATTGTTTATCGCGACAGGCCTAGTTATGAGTCACTAACTCATGTCCAACCGTCTCAGCCCAGTGAGACACCACCTTAACACCACGCCTTCATGCTTCTTTTAAAAAACAACACAGTCGGGTGACATTTTAGAATTACTTGTTTCTGTCCTTCAAAAGCATTTGGGGAAGAATTTGATCAATGATCAGGGAGAAGCCACAATCGTTCATCGAAGACAACAAGAGGGAAACGTCATAACCTGAGAAAGCTGTGCATGGGTCGAGACAAACAAGCCAACGGAAGGAGAACGAATAAAGAAAGTCGTTCAGAACAAGCAAGCACCTCCCATTCTGTTCAAAGCGTCCAATAGGCTGACCTGGTCACTAGTGCTAGAAGAGGAGGTGGCATAGAAGGAGGAAGAGGAGGAGGCAGAGAAAGAAGACGACGAAAAAGAAGCGGTGTAGACGGATGAGTCGCTGTCTGAGGCATCGGGGCCCTCTGTGGAAGTTGGCGAGGGTGGGGACGGCTCGATCAGCTGCTGCAGTGGAGAGCGCGACTGTGACGAAGTGAGAACAAGGATAAAGGAGGGAGAGTGAAGCGGGGGAGGGCAAAACCATGACACGTTAGATCGGACAGGTTTGTGGGAGGCAAATAATCCAAACCTGGTTCTGCAGTGAAGTGACTTTGGCTCTCGGACCCCTACTGTTTTCACCCCATCTGCTCCCTTTGGGGTCTATCCTGAAGAAACATGGTCTTTCTGTTCACTGCTATGCTGATGACTGTCAGATTTATCTGCCTTAAAACCAAATTGTTATTTCTCCATTCAGCCTCTGTTAAATGTCTAGATGACTTCATGCTTTTTTAAAACTGAAGTCATCGTATTTAGCTCTAGGTCTGCTGCTGTCTCTGGTCCTGTAAACCTGGACTCTCTTCAGTCTTATCTTAAGCAGTCTGTTACAAATCTCAGGATGGTTTTAGACTCTGACTTTAAGTTTAATAAACAGATTAATTATGTTCTTCAGAAAAGTTTCTTCCAGTTATGGCAGGTAGCTCAGCTTAAGTCCGTGTTGACCTGATCCGACCTTGAAAAATTAGTCCATGCCTTCATTACGACGCGACTTAACTACTGTAACGTGCTTCATGCTGGAGTCAGTCAGGTCTCCAGAAAGTCCAAAATGCTGCAGCTCTGCTTTTAACAGGAACCCGTAGGTTTGAACATGTTTCACCAGTTTTGTCTTCCCTTCACTGGCTCCCTGTACATGTCAGAATTCATTTTTTAATTCTCCTGTTGACCTTTAAATGCATTAATGACCTTGAACCCTCGTATCTCTTTGACCTACTTCAACCAGATGTTCCTTCTCGAGCCCTGAGATCATCTGACCAGCTGCTTTTGGTTGAAGCTCAGCGGAGATCGGGCTTTTTCAGTCGTGGCCCTAAATTCTGGAACAATCTGCCCCCCACCATTAGGCAGGCCCCTTCACTTCCTGTTTTTAAATCTTTCTTAAAAACACCTGTTTTCTTAGATGTTGAACACACCGAGATCTGATTTACTGTTACATTGTTCTGTGTTTTTATGTTTTTCTTTTGATGCTTTTAATTAATTTGAGGTTTTATTATTAGTTTTTTTTATCATTAAATTACTCCCATTCATTTTTATTGTTAAGCACTTTGGCAGCAGCTGCTGTTTTAAATGTGCTTTATAAATAAAATTGACTTGAGGGATAAAATAATAAAGATTTCGTCTTTAACATGCTCACATATCAAACTTAAAGGAGCAGGATCTCATGTATGTATGTATATATATATATATATATATATACTCTTAAAATGTCTTGCAGAAACATTTCCAATTGCTTGTATGATTATACTTTTCCTAACAAGAGGAGCTGAACTAAAGAATACAGATGATTTATTGTTAACATAATTTTGTTTCCAGTCCAACTAATTCAACAAGGATTGATTTTTTCAAAGATCCGATGTAAAGTCTGACTTTATTACTGCGCAACATCAGCTCAATATTAATTTAAGTAAATTTAGGTGAATTAGGTTTTAAGCTCCACGACCTAAAACCAGAGTGTGGGACAAAGTGGTCTTCTCTAGAACTTCTGACTTAAAGAAATGAAGCATTGTTTATAAAACAGGATGTTTCTCTTACAGAATTACTAATTAAATATATTTGTTATTGTCTATGGAAGCATCGTCTTCTGTCTTTCACACAAACATCCTGTAAATACAGAAGAACAGTCACGTTAGAACAAACGGTCACACTGACCAGTTCCGCTACATCTGACGGGGTCACAGCCGAGTCTGGTCCCTCTGTGGTGGTCTGGGAGGAATCACTGGGTGGAAGCGAGAGGTCAGTGGGTCCGAGCAGCGTCCCTCCCTCTCCAAGGGGCCCTCCCTCTGGAGTGGCGTTTTCTGGTGTGGTGTAGTCGGCCGTCTCTGGGGTCACGTTGGCCCCACTGGAGCTCCGACTGAGCATCTCCTCCTCGTTGCCATTGGGTGATTCAGGGGTGCCTGATGCAGACGTCCAGCCTCCCCCGCCCTGCTCGGAGGAGGTGCTGAGGTCCACAGAGTCACCCGGCTGCAGTGCATGCTGGGAAGAGCGTGGCTGCTCAGTGATGATGTCCACCTGGGCGGCAGAGGAGCCATCTGCACAAACACAGAGACGTCGAGTACAATTTTAGTATTTGAACTTTTTAATTATTACCGAGGACACGGTCAGAACATTGTGCTCGCTGAAGACAAATAAAACACTTTAATAATTCTTGGGTGACGCGCTGCTGCTTCCACCCTGCAGGACTGAACGTTCCTGCAGGCAGCAATGAGGCTTTACTACCAAACTGTGCAATCTTCACATTTCATTAACGTGACATGCACATGATTGTGCCTCGTACACACAGAAGCACGGTGCGTATAAAACATGTTCACCCCTCGGGTGTTTTATGCTTTTATTGCTGCCATAAATGACTCATGGTCAATAATAAACGCCGTTCTTTTTCAAAAACAAAACTGAAAACAATCTCGATTGTCAAAATTATTTTTTTAGAGAGTAAGCCTAATAAAATATGTAATGTCAAATAAGTGCATGAATATTCACAGCTTTAAAGTGACCGTCTTAAATCAACTCAGAACGCAAAAGATTATTGAAAAGTTCAAGTCAGGGGAGGGGTACTAAAGGACTTCCAAGGTCCTGAACAGCCCCCGAGGATCTGCTAAATCCATCTGCAAGAAATAAAAGGAATATGGGAATGTGTAAATCTACCTCACAAACTGAGTGAGGAGAGCATGACGGAGGCAGCAGGGCACCGGTGACCACTTGGACTTACGAGCTTCAGCAGGTATGAAGGTAGAGACTGAGCTACAACGGCTGCTCAGGTCTGAGCTTTACAGAAAAGTTGTCCAGACTGTTCAGAGACTCCAGCTGAGACTTGATTCAACTTTTTTTCAAGAGTGGCTATTCTTTGCCACTCACTCATAAACCTTAGGCTAGTAGATTTAAAATATAAATCCTTTGCTGTGTGTGCCATCTGGAGTTACGATGTGAAATCAGAAAGATCGTTGCAGACGGTGTCGGGGAACGTGGGTTTCTGCCGGACAATGTGAAGTCAGTTTTTAAGGCCTGCTCTGTTGAAACAAATCTAAAAAATATACGTAACCTAGTAAATCCAACAACTGCAGTCTGCACAAGGGTGAGCGACCGTTGATGCGAGTTTCCTTGCAGACAATGCCCTAATCCCAGCTACCAGATTGGGGCGGACTGCGGGGTGAGAATAGGGCGTGGCTCACAGGAGGAGGTCGTTAGCGTCTGTGTGAATCACCTTTACATACGTACAGCCCAAGCTGGACTCGTTTTAAATTACTTTGGGTGATACTCAAGTTATGAAGACAAGTCCACTTGGAGGAGAGGATGAAGAAGTTTCCGCTCGTCATGCAGAGGCTTTAGCTTCACTAGGCAGAACGAGCTGCCACCTGGTAGGTGCATCTAACCTGTGAAGGCTCCAGCAGTGGCCTCCGTCCTCTCAGGGTCGTCTTCCAGCCCATCTTCTTCCCCAGAAAGCATCTTACCTGGAAATTACAAATGTATTGTCAAATAATGAAAGCAGGAGGCAGTCAGTCCTGACTGATGACTTCCAGAAGTTTAAGAAAGAGAAAGGAATAAGAACTTAGATGAGACTATTATTTTTCAAATAAGCACAAGAATACAGTGTTCACATTATTCAGAACATTAAAAACTGAAAACAGTCCATTCAGTGACAGTTAAAGGTCTAACCCAGGAATAATTAAAGTGCAAGTGTGTCGACGTGAGCAGGACGTAAAGGACAAGTCACCTCTCTGTTTCCTGAGAAGTAGTGGACTGCAGGAAGTCCCTCCCCCCGCTGCAAACCGCAGGAAAACAGGAAGTGGAATCAGGCGAGAGAGAGAGAAAAGCAGCAGAAGCTAAAGAAGACTCGCAGGAAATGAAGATCGTTATGTACAAAAAGAACGAGTTAAAGAGCAAGATGATGAAAACTGACCAGAGATCAGAGAAGACTCAGCAGTTTAATTAGATTAGTGGGCGTGAATAAGTTCAAAGCCAACAAAAACAGATTCATTGGAGTACAGAAACATTTCAAAGTCTTCATCACGAAGCAGCAGAGGGACGACGAGCTTTGAAACCATCTGTCCTAATTGATTCGTGAGATTACCGATGAGCTCGAGGATGCTGCCTGAACGTGCGCGGCTCTCCGCGTCCTGACGAAACACGGTGGCGTGTGGGATGCTGCCGGCTGTGATGAGCATGTGCAGGAGCTCGGGTGGAGGGGTCCTGAACATCTGCTGCAGGAGCTCCAGAGCAGCTGTGACCACATTGTGATCCCAGTGCTGTGTGTAGTTCAGGGTCAGCTCGTAAACCTTCGAACACGCACACAATCATTCAACAAAAAGTCAAAACACTAAAATAATCAGATGCACGTTCAGCCCTCACCTGAAGCAGCTGTTCAGGCGTTGGCTGCACGTCAGCCTCCTTCCTCATGACTCCGAAGCTTCCCTTGAGGCTGGTGGTGTTGACCTGGTGCTGCAGCAGAGGGATCAGGTAGCGAAGAGTTAACAGCACCCCCAGAATCAGGTGGCTGGGGCGTTCATCGTCCACTGGAACCAGCAGGCCTGGAGATAAACAGACTGCGGTTCGTTACGTTTGCTTTTGTGTCGCTACCTGAACATCACATTCCTGTTGAAATGACTTGAAGTAGGTTTTACTTTGAGGTTCAGTAAAGAAACAAGGAAAGTCGCTGGACTGTGAGATCGGGTTCTTTCTGTGACCTACCCAACAGCACGTTAAGGAGCCAGGTGTAGAAGTAGCTTGTGCGTCTGGAGTGCTGGCACACGCTGACGGCCGAGCTGGCAGCTGTGCGCCGGATGGTGGGGGAGCTGGACTTCAAGTTGGCAACAAACGACTTCAGCAGCACCTAAAACATGACGAGGCGATAATGAAACGAGCCTTCAGGCTGCGCTTACGACTGCACTTTGTCCTCAAAAATGGCAGATCCCACAGAAAAGCAGGAACAGAAGGGAAGGACGGCGTACCTTGACCTCGCCATCGTTGGCAAAGTGTCCCAAGGCTGCCATCGTTTTGGGCACGGCTGCTGCCAGCGTCTCCTGCACCGTTTCCTCCTGCCGCTTGGCGATTCTGGAGAGGCATGGCAGCAGGTTGACCAGATAAGGTCTGAATCACAAGCAGGGAACGAGGGAGGAAGAACAATTAAAAAGGTTGGAACGCTTTTATCCACAGACTGAAAGAGCATTTCATGTTTATTGGTAGCAATGTTTTGTTCACGTTTTAAAAAAGGCTTCACCCTCACAGTGTTAAAAACTCTGTGTTGATGGGATTCAGGTGCAAAGACTAAAATCCACTGGTCTGAACTGGACTCCGGTTGAAATCATACCCACTTGTTTTATATGCAAAGGCTAATTTTACTTTAGGGAGTTTATTTGTACGTGTTGCTATGATAACACTAATAAAACCTGGGAAGAAAAAAGTTCCCTTGTTGATACTGGACAAGTGCGTGAATCGCAGAATGTTGTGCACGTTGTATTTTTACAATGAATTGATTTTTCTTCACCCTCAACATTTACCTGCATTTCTGGGGTCGGATGAGATGAGCAAGCTCAGCAAACCTCCACAAAGCTGCCCTTAAACTCCGCGAGGCACCGTTCTGTTGACGCGTACAACATTTAAAGAATGAAATCAAATCTAACACCTTGGTCATGTTTATTGGTAGCAATGTTTTGTTCACATTAAAAAAAAAGGCTTTTAAATTTTTTAAATGGAGCACCACAGAAAGAAAGCTGAATATCTTGATTACCTTTTTAATTTCTTTGTACAGCTCCAGCTGCAGTCTAGGCAAGTTCGAGTCCATCAGCGCCTAAAGAGAAAAGTCAAAACAACAGAATCTGCATCTTTATTGCTCCTTTTAGACATTTTCAATGAAGAAAATTAAACATAAGAACATTCTGTGGATGATCAGGAAATGGCAAAAAGGTGTTTTTGCAGTATACTGTTCAATTCAATTCTGTTTATTTATTTAGCACCAAGTCACAACAGAAGTCGTCTCAGGGACTGAACAGACACATTCATATTTTAAAAATAAGTTAACAACATTATTTATCTGAGGAGCAGCTTTGAGTTTAACTTCATCGCAGACTTTTATCCTGAGCAAGCATGAAGGCGACAGTGGAAAGGAAAAACTCCCTCGTGAGGAAGAATCCACCAGGAGGCCAAATTAATGCCATCTAGACAACAAAGTCCATGCTCAATAATCCAGGTATACAATCCAACATTCTTCAGTCAGCTCATCTGGACAGTTTCTTTTTTTGTGCTGAAACGTTTCGCCTTGGATCCAGAAGGCTTCATCAGTCAAGGAAACACACAACAAAACTGATTCTTCCCCCAACAGCTTACTCCAAAGTGGAACAAACCAGTTCTGCTTGTGATAAGATGGTCTCTTTGGGACGCCCCCTCCTCCATTGCCGGCCCTCTTCCTTCCTGAAGAAGCCTTCAGGATCGAAGACGAAACGTTTCAGCACAAAAAAAGAAACTGTCCAGATGACCGGACTGAAGAATGTTGGATTGTATACCTGGATTACTGAGCATGGACTTTGTTGTTTTCAACCAGTTTGACACGACTGTCAACAAGGAAGAGGGCCGGCAATGGAGGAGGGGGCGTGCCAAAGAGACCATCTTATCACAAGCAGAACTGGTTTGTTCCACTTTGGAGTAAGCTGCTGGAGGAAGAATCAGTTTTGTTGTGCGATTCCTTGACTGATGAAGCCTTCTGGATGGAAGGTGAAATGTTTCAGCAAAAAAAAAAAAACTGTCCAGATGACCTGATTGAAAAATGTTGGAATGCCATCTAGAGTTGGTGAAAGGCTGCAAAATTTATTCCTAAGATGCTCAGGTCCAAAAACCAAAACCTCAGTCTTGTCTGAGTTTAAAAACAGAAAATTAAGGGTCATCCAGGTTTGTATGTCTTTAAGAAATGCTTGTAGTCCAAAGTAGCTGATTGGATTGGTTGGGTTTCATGGACAAATATAACTGTGTATCATCAGCATAACAATGAGAATTTATCCCATGCTGTTTTATAACTTTACCTAATGGAAGCATATAGTATAAGGTAAAGAGTATTGGTCCAAGCACTGAGCCCTGAGGAACTCCATGACTAACTTTGGTGTATGAAGAAGGTTCATTATTTACATTTACAAACTGGAATCTATCAGATAGATATGATTGAAACCATTTAGAGCTGTTCTTGTAATCCCAACATCTCTGTCATAGAATATTGTGATCAACTGTTACTGTTTGTAACAAAGTGCCAAGAATATCAATCAAAATTTGTTAATTGCTGTTTGATCTGAAAAACAATTTTTTTCTGTTTGAGTTTAGTTGTTTTAGTTTGAATTAATTATAAATCAGTATTAATTGAATTAACAAACAGAAAACATTTATCAGAAAACGGTCGTGTGAAACGTAATTTCAGCAAAAAGTCTGTCATTCAGTTCAAAGTGTCTCCACCGTCCGTCTGCTGTCTGGCTTACCACTGCTGACGGTTCTGTTTGTAGATCCAAGTGTTGATGGAACAAGTCTGATGTTGACTAATAGAATAACTTCAACATGTGTAAATAAATAAAATCCAGACAAAAACTAAAGGTGACAATGAAAAGGTGAGTTGTGACTCACTTTGATGATTTTGTTCAGACACTCATCGGCAACCATCCGGACATCTGATTCACTGTCATCGCTGCAGAGAAGGAACATCTCCATGGCAATCCCAAGCAGCTTCTGAAACTCTGGAGATGTTCTGTGTCCAGGACCATTAGAACAAAGGTTAACATGACGGACGTGTCCAAATAATTCTGAAAACACTGTTTTCTGAACCGTTTCACCTTCAATAGTCCAAAGCTCCTGTTAACTTTATTCATCTGATCCTTTCAAGTGATGAGAACTGAATCAATTTATTCATCGTCTCACCTGAAATTGTTCTTCTCCAACATGATAAAATGCATTTACGCTCATTAAGTTCAAGCTTTTCCACAGTTGAACTTCACAGACGAGCTCTGGGTTTCTGTTCTGCACAAGAAAATCTAAGTTTCCTGTACTTCATGTCAAAAACTGTAATCACTGGTGTAAACTGGTCCATTTTGAGTGAATGGTAGTTATTCATCCGTTGGCATCACCTTTAGTTACTGAGAAAGCTAATGTCGCACAAGATAAGTAAATAGAATTTGGAAATGGGCTCTTCAGAAAATAAAATGCATTACTTGACTTTAAAAGTAGTTCTTTTCATCCCTCGTGCTCTTAAAATACACACTTTGATAATAATGACAAAGGCTGAAGGTGTTTCTACCGATCCCCTTTTCTATGCATCGACAATCAAAACAGTATTAAATTATTAAATTACAGGTAAAAACAAACTGTTGTGATACCGATAAGGCACATATTTTCACTTTGAAATGATACATGCTAAATATTAACTTAAGAATGTACAAATAAGTAATCAATCACAAAGCCTTTTTAGAAGATACCATTACAAATTAAGTGATGGCAAACGTCATAAAATTGTACAAATATTTAACCTAAGCACTTTGGTCAGAGTTTGGTTGTAAACGTGCTATATAAATAAATCTGGCTTGACCTACCTCAGAGACTGAGCCACGATGTTTTCACATATTGTCAGGCAGTGGGTCACCCGGTCCTTCTTTGTTGCAGCTTGCTCTTTTTTCCTGTGGAAACATCAGACGATGGGAACGTGAGCGACAAGCAGAGAAAATAAGGAACTTTCAGGAAATCAAACGTGCCAACAGAAACCGTCATTTTTCAACACAGATCTATCGTTTTTTTTATTTATTTATTGTAAACCAACAACACAATGCATATATACTTTTTTAAACTTAATAGAAAGAAGTCAATTAAAAAAGAACAAATCAGGAAAGAAAAACAAATGAAAGGTAGAACTTTAAAAAGTATTTCTGAGTCAGTCAGAGTCAGAGTCAGAGTCAGAGTTTCTTTATTGTCATTCGCACCTCATGTGGTACATGTGGTGGAGTGAAATTATGTTCACAGGGTCCCAGTTACATCCAACAATAAAATGTATAAGAAAAACAGTAATAACATCTAAGATATGAACTAAGAAAAACATCAACTAAATATACACTAAGCACTCATAACATAAAACATTGAACATCAGCACAAACATGAACATGAGTCTGTGAGCAGATGTGCACGCATGAACACATCAACATGAAACAGATCAGCAGCAACATGAAACAGATCAGCAGCAACATGAAACAGATCAGCAGCAACATGAAACAGATCAGCAGCAACATGATATGGTTTTTCACAGTGATTATTCTAGTTAGAGATTCATGAGTCTAACAGCCTCAGGGTAGAAGCTGTTCCTCAGTCTAGTGGTTCTACACTTAATGCTCCTTAACCTCCTTCCTGAGGGGAGTGGGGCAAAAAGTGTGTGTGCTGGGTGGGTGGGGTCCTTCATGATGCAGGTGGCCCTCTTCCTGCATCTGGAGGTGTAGATGTCTGTGATGGTGGGGAGACTGATTCCAACAGATTTCTGTGCAGCCTTCACCACTCTCTGCAAAGCTTTTCTTTCTGCAGCTGTGCAGCCTCCATGCCACACATTGATGCTCGAGCACAGGATGCTCTCCACTGCACACCTGTAGAAGGAGGTGAGGACTGAGCTTCCCAGACCAGCTCGCCTCAGCCGTCTGAGGAAGTAGAGTCTCTGATGAGCTTTCTTGATCAGGCTGGTGGTGTTGTTGCTCCAGCTGAGGTTGTCATTCATGTGTACACCCAAGTACTTGTAGCTGGAGACCACTTCCACCGCAGATCCTCTTATGTTCAGGGGGGTGTAGGTGTTTTTGTTCCTTCTGAAGTCCACGATCATCTCCTTTGTCTTCTTCACATTGATGTGAAGGTTATTCTCTCTGCATTTCTAAGTATTTGTCCTTTGTAACGTGTTTCAAGTTACCAGAAAGTAAAAATAAATCTGCATATTATCAGTTATCAAATTAAGCAGTATGAGGTGTGTATAGTTAAATCGACTTATTTATATTTTTAGTATTGTTGTGAAAACACAAGAGATGGCTTTAATGGTGCCATTACATCACTGCAATGAATGAGCCTGGCTTCTGCTGCATCATAAATAAACATTACAGAGAAGATTAAAATATATAGTTTAAACACTTCACACGTTTAATTAAGAGGGCAGAAGCTTAGTTGATCCACCTGGCCCTTCCATTGGTCTGGGAGCGTTCAGTGCACAGCCCAGTCTGCCAACATCAACTTCAAAGCAGAAATACCTCTATGGTTGAGAATAAAAGCTCGACTTTGTTTATCCCGAGGTGTTTATGAGTTTTCCTGAGACGCACTAACGTCGCTACTGGCGGAGCTAAGCTAACGGCTAATAGCTGCTGGACTTACTGTTTTTGAACAAGCTCCTCGGCTGTCGGTGGCCCCTGCTGCTGCTGAAATGACTTCAGAGACTCGAAGGCCTTCATGAGTTTCTCCATGGTAGCCATTTTGACAATCTAAAACGAGCAAGCCTGCCAGAGCGGCTAATATTTACTATTTGAGCTAACCAGCTAGCACAGTGGGGGCAAGCTAACGTTCAGAGAGCAAGAGCTGCGTAGCGTCACGAGAGTGCTCGTGACAGCTAGCACCCGCTCTCCGCTTGCTCTTACTGCAACGCGTCGCTTATCCTTTCACAAAAACATTCCTAAACGAACCAACTCTTGCTTGAAAATAAGCCATTTTAGGTGCAGAATTGCGCTCTTCCCAACAATCACACCAGGAAGTAGAATATGTGACAGCTCGCGCTATAGAGGCGGAGCAAACAAACTGACCAATCAGAATACAGAGATGTAATGACTGACGTAACAACGATCCAATGAGACAATGTGCCTTGTCCTGACGTATGCTCAGGGTTTGGCATAGTTATGAGAAAACAAATATATTTATAGAAATGTTTGTAGAATAAACAGCAAATGACTTTATCTTGCATATTTTTTCTAAGAATTAGATGTCAGAAAATCCTGATGCATGCTCAATAATAACACTGGCAGAAAAATTTAACAAAGTTAAGTCAGGTCCTCTGGACGGACTTGAAAAATAAAAATAAATTGTTGAAACGTTTCGTCTTTTATCCAAAAGATTTCGTGAGTCTGAGCACTAAACTCACTTCTTCAATTCAGTTCCTGTCAAGTCCAGAACTGAATGCAAAATCTTACACCTACAAAGCTCTCAACTACCTAGTTCCATATTTGAGATCTTGTTGATCCATATTTTCCTAACAGAGCACTTCGCTCTCAGACTGCAGGTTATCTCGCGGTTCCTAGAGTTTCCAGCAGCAGAATGGGAGGAAGATCTTTCAGTTCTCAGGCTCCTCTCTTGTGGAACCAACTTCCAGTTTCTGTCCATGAGGCTGACACATTGTCCAGTTTGAAGACTGGGATTAAGACTCTCCTTTTTGATAAATCCTATAGTTAGGGTTGGCTTGTTATGCTGCTATAGACTTACTAGAGGACAAATTGACCTCATTTCCTTAAATGAATTGTTAAAATTTAATAGTTTTCATTTGATACTATTTCTATCTTAACATGTGATTCTTGACCTGCCATTGTGTATCTATTCCTCTCAAACCAGCCGGTCGAAGCAGATGGTCCTCTTGTCCTGATCCTGGTTCTGCTAAAGGTTTCTTCCTCATGAGGGAGTTTTTCCTTTCCACTGTCTCCTTCATGCTTGCTCAAGATGAGAGTTCTGTGATAGAGTTAAACTCAAAGCTGCTCCTCAGATAAATAATGTTCAATTATTATTTTATATATGAATGTTTCTGCTCAGTCCCTGAGATGACTTCTGTTGTGACTTGGCGCTGTATAAATAAACTGAACTGAAAGCTCCGAGGAGGCAGGGCTCTGGGAGTGGATGAAATTCACCCTGATTTCTTTAAGGCTCTGGATGTTGTGGGGTTGTCTTGGCTGACACGACTTTGCAACGTTGCGTGGACATCGGGGGCTGTGCCACTGGACTGGCAGACTGGGGTGGTGGTTCCCCTCTTCAAAAAGAGGGTGTGCTCCAATTATAGGGGCATCGCTCTCGTTAGCCTCCCAGGTAAGGTCCATTCAGGGGTACTTGAGAAGCGAGTCTGATCATTGGTTGAACCTCAGATCCAGGGGGAACAATGTGAGTTCCATCCTGGATGTGGAACACTGGATCAGCTCTTTACCCTCACTAGGGTCCTTGAGGGGTCATGGGAGTTTGCCCATCCAATCTACATGTGTTGTGTGAACATGGAGAAGACATTTGACTGTGTTCCTTGAGGTACACTGTGGGGGTGCTCCGTGAGTATGGGATTGGAGGCCCGTTGTTACGTGCTGTTCAGTCCCTATACAAACGATGCGAGAGTTTGGGTCGCATTGCTGGCAGTAAGTCGGACCCCTTCAGGGTGGGAGTTGGACTCCCCCAGGGCTCCCCGTTGTCACAGATTCTGTTCATAACTTTCATGGACAGAACTTCTCGGTGCAGCCAGGGGGTGGAGGGAGTCCGGTTCGGTGGCCTCAGGATTCCATCTCTACTCTTTGCAGATGATGTGGTCCTGTTGGCGTCATTGTGCCGTGATCTTCAGCTCTCACTGGAGCGGTTCACAGCAGAGTGTGAAGCGGCTGGGATGAGAACCAGCACCTCCAAATCTGAGGCCATGGTCCTCAACCAGAAAAGGGTGGATTGTTCTCTTCAGGTTGAGGGTGAGGTTCTGCCTCAAGTGGAGGAGTTCAAGTATCTCTGGGTTTTGTTCACAAGTGAGGGAAGAATGGAGCGTGAGATTGAACGACGGATTGGTGCAGCATCTGCAGTATTGCGGACTCTGTACCGGTCCGTTGTGGTGAAGAGGGAGCTGAGCTGTAAGGCAAAGCTCTCTGTTTTACCGGTAGGTCTACATTCCTCCCCTCACCTCTGGTCATGAACTCTGGTAAGGATGCCCACTGGGCGCCTCCCTAGAGACGTGCTTCGGGCATGTCCAACTGGGAGGAGACCCTGGGGAAGACCCAGGACACGCTGGAGAGACTGTGTCTCTTTTTTGGACTGGGAACACCTTGGAGTCCTCCCAGAAGAGCTCCCTCAGCATAATAAATAGCACCTAGCATAGTGGATCAACCAATTTGCTGTTGCCATCCAGAACTAGCTGTTTACATGATAAAGGAGGACCATCAGCCTAACGACCGATCGTTAATGGCCTGCTGGCCACTTGAGTCCTCGTAGCTGAATGAGATTAGCCTGTATAAATAAAGGTTGAATGAATGAATGATACTAGCAAGAAGGTGACAATTGGACAGGCCTCCGTCTCTTTTAATGGTGGACGATTTCTCTTGCCAAAGGGTCAAAGGTTAACCAACAACATAATAAATAAATAAATAAATCTGAGCTGAATTTATTGGCGTATGGCTTGAATCCAGAGCAACTGTGGTATTCAGTTAATATCTGGTCATGTGTTGTGTAAAATCCCTGTGCAGACTCTGGCTGTAACTGCTAACACAAATCGGCTTCCGTAGTTCACATAACTTATGCTTGTCCTACATTTTCATTCTGTAAATGTTTGTAGTTCCTTAATGAAATAACTTTTTATAGGACTTTCAGAATGCTGCTCAGGGATTAGAATCCTCACAAAAATAACATTTTCACATTGTTTTTCCCTCCTCATGACGTTTTCATGTGTTCGCCAATAGTTTTGAAGCTTTTATTTTGGAGGCGACTAAGGGAAGGAAGTTTTGTGAACTACGGAAGCCGATTTGCGTTTGCATTTTTCAGCAACGCGGGTTTAATCGCTCTTCAAACAAACAGGTGCAGATCTTACGGTGGACGTTTTAAGATTTATCCTCGTGTCTGACACTTTTGGGGGTAACTTTCTGGACTCTTCCCTGTTTGAAAGATTCGCTCTGAGTTAACCGCTGTCAGCCGAACAGCGTTAGCATGATGTTAGCCAACGTAGCTCAGGATGTTGGCGTGTTTGTAGAGCGTTTCCAAAAGTCGCTTAGCTTTCTTGTACTTCTATCTTTCTATGGGATCGACGGTATTTTTATATTTCTTAATAGGCTCACTGCATTTAATGTAGATAAACGTGAAGTTAAAATCTCACTGTGAGGTCATTTTGTTTCGCTATTTGTTTCTGGTTAGTTCATCGTCGGGTGCAGTTTGTTTGTTTGTTTAAACCACGTGGTAAAGTTGTTTTCTTGACCCATATTAAATAACATTCCAACTTAGTTTTACAAATCGCCTCGAAGCTGTAGAAAATATGCTTTCGTCTAGAATGCATTTACAAAGAGTGACTTTATCTGATTGTGAACTTTTAAATACCAAATTAATTTTCAGATGGACCAAAGCCCAGAGGAGGATGGGCAGACGTCACCTACGTTTAAAGAACAGGAAGAGAAGATGGACGTCACCATGGCAACGCAGTTAGAAAATCTCAACGTGACCACAGGCGAAGCTTTAGAAGACACAGACTCGTGTGATGGAAAAACTGAAGACAAACAAGAAACATCAGGAACACTGACCGTGGAAAATGTTCGTGAGACACATCTGGAAAGTTGCGTTGCCACTCCCGACGGTGCAACGGCAGCAAGCAGAGAAACACGTGAAGAAGAAACGGGCGACGTTTGTAAGACGGCAGCAGTGAGCAGCGTTTGGAAGATTCATGACGCTGAGGAAGAGGATTCAGAAGATTCAGAGAGGTATTTGCTGGTTGTTGTTGGCGTCCACCACCGGGTTCGGAGGTTGCTGCCTCGACGGGCACGACAACGTTGTGGCCAGGCCTGTCACGACAACAAACTGCTGGGCGATTCATTGTCTCAGAAATTATTGTGATAAACGATAATATTGTTTGAAATTTGACAATAATTACTAATTATTGTCAAATTTAAGAAGAAATGTTGGTTAACTTGTGTGCAGTACCTTTTTTTGACCACCGGGTGGCGGTATGAGACCGTTTGAACCGAAGGATGGATAGTGAGGGAGCGAGCAGTGCGTCTCTTTAAGAAAAATGGGAGGGAGGCCCCTTGACATGATGTGTTGTTCTCCATTCTGTTACGGAACCCGATCCGTAGTGTAGCTCATGTGCGCAGGTTCGAATCCCCTGACCGTTGCATCAAAATTTGGGTGGGAAAGGTAAAGCACCAACATCTTTCTCCACCCTCATTCGCAACACTCTGGGCCTTCAAGTAAGACCCTTATAGGACCCACCCCCTCCCTTATCTGTTCCCCCAGATGGAAGCCCTCTGCTCCACACAGAGGGCTGTGGTGGCATCAGGAAGGGCATCAATGTGAGTTCAATGTAGCTATCCCTAAAAAAAAGAAAGGAGCAGCCAAAATGATGAAATGAAAAAAGAACTCGTAACACCCCCCACCCCCACACACGTCACACACTACCACCCACCCCTGTCTGACACCCCCTCCCTGCCATTGTCAGAAACTTCAAGAAAAAACCGAACAAAAGAAAACTGACAGTCTCCTTTTCTCCTCAGTGACAGTTCTTCCTCCTCTTCCTCTTCTTCATCATCGTCTTCTCCATGTGCTCTGGTGTTGGATGATGATGACGAAGGTTTCAGCCAACCAGCCCCAGTCAGAACTAGAGATGAAGTCTTACTAGAGGTTGGTATTGGTTTTGTCCATATAAATGTTGTCATGTTGACAATGGGGGCGGGGACAAAAACAACTTCAAGTTCTAAGGTTTTACATCTGAACTTTTATGTATGACTATAACACTCAAACAACCAAAGCCATTCTGTCTATAAACAAACAAATATAAAATGTATTACACCTGGTCTAATTCAAAACTTACTGATGACGAGTCTTGATTTAAAACGGATCAAATAATCACTCTGGTGGTACAGAGACAAAATGTCCCTCATTAACGGACCTGAAGCTGTTTCTGAATAATCCTTCACAAGACGCCATCATAAGCCTCCTAGTCAACAAAACCCCACGCTCCCTTAAATGTGTCTGCAGAGAGCGGATCCTCAGATCCACAACCAGCACGAAAACCACTCGGCTTCTTTTTAATGTCCCCTGTTGCCAAGTGAATGGAGGGAAATGGACACACCCTCCCTCCCTATGTCTGTCCATGCGTGTTGTAAGCATGACTCCTTGGAAAATAGCTGAGGTACTAACTTCCATTGGTGTGTGTTGGATCAACGCGTAAGTTTTCCTTTGAAATTGCTACGTCAAAATCCAAGATGGCGACCTACCACCATACATGTGCAAATGTAAACCTTGTGATCTGGATAACTTTGATCCAGCTTGGGGGGGTGGGGATGAAAAGAAGGGGCGTGCTACATCTGTAATACGTGCGCGGGGCGGAGGTCGGTTAGCTTAGAGCTACGTTTGTGTCGCGCACGCTTTGGTTATTTGGTACAGAAAGCGATCGCCTCCTAATGTGCAACTAGGGTACGTCTTTCTTTTTGTCAAGATTATTTTTGTGTTTTTTACACTTCTGTTCAACCAACATTAAAAATCATTGACTAGCTTTCATTAGTTTTATTTATTTATTTTTTAGGAGAAAGAAAAATTATCAATGCTTTTGTCCATTTCAAGTTATCATTTGCAGGCCGTGCCTTTTAAACTAGGCCTGCCTGAATTCATCCACCTTTTTTAATACATCATTATAATTAATGTCACGGCCGTAGAAACTGTCAATAATTTACAGAAACGTGGTGAAAGAGGCGCTGCGTCACAGACTCACGGAGAGAATTAATTAAAATACTTCAGCAATGAACACAATTCAACAAGTTTCCTTCTACTGCAGCTAAAGTAATGCCACGTACACGTTTAGCACAAGCATCAATATTAACATAATGACAAAAAATATGAATAAAATGCATTTTATTCAGCAAAAGTCTTATTTGTGCACTGGTTATCTGCGCGCTTCAATTCCAACAAAAGGTGTTTTTCTTTTGCCGAAAGTTGAGTCTGCTCTTTTGTGCTTCTGACATACCTGTAAAGTTTGAATTTGTTAACATCCGCTCTTTGTAGGCTGAAAGAAAAACCGCTCTCGAATCTACATAAATGTATTTAAGTGTGTGCACGTTGTTCCAGATGCAGTATTAAGTGTGTGCACGTTGTTCCAGATGCAGTA